TATTCTGACATCGAGAGTAACTTGAGTATCACTGCTCCTCTTTCTGACAGTGTTCTCAGGCAATGCTGAGAATTAAGTCTGCAAGGATCTTTCCTGGGGTGAAGTTAGTGGACTGGGGATGCAGGACTGCCCTGGGGAGAAGGTGCGGCAGAAAACTCATCCAATAGGGATAGAACTAAGAGGGTAGGCCCTGTGAGAGGCACAGCTGCAGATTCCTGAAGCCAAATACTGTCCCATTTAATTCAGAAAGAAGTGAATGAGAGAGAGGCCAGTTAAAGCAAATTTAACTTTGGAAGTCAGTGCCCAGTGATGGAGGAGGTATGGATCCTAATCACAAAATTTCTGTATTTAAACAGACACCAATTTTTTAAGTAAATTGCAATATTATTCTCCTGACTGCAAAAGTAATGCAAAACAAGAACAAAAGAACACATGCTCAATGTAGAAAACATAAGCTCTACAGATAAGCAAAAGCTATAATCCCCAAGGACTGTATGAGTGTCACCTGCTCCCAGGCTGTGGTCTTGCTGCACATATTTCTGCTTTGCAAAAATGAAATCCAACAGGCAGTGTTTTAAAAAAGGCCCCCAGAGCTCTGGGTTCAAGGTGAAGATCATTTCATTGGTGAGATTCACCACTCCCACCCCTCCATGACTGCCCATTGAAGCGACCCCACTGCTAGCTGTTCGGCGGGCTGGGGCTTCCCATCAAGGTTCATAGGAGAAAACGGCTCTGCTGGCTGCTTGTGAAAGTCACTCAGTTGTGTCCGACGCTTTGCGACCCCATGAATTGTAGACTATGGAATTCTCTAGGCCAGAATACTGGAGTGGGCAGCCTTTCCCTTCTCCAAGGGATCTTCTGAACCCAGGGATTGAACCCAGGTCTCCCACATTGCAGGCAGATTCTTTACCAGCTGAACCACAAGAAAAGCCCTGCAGGCTGCTTAAATAAATATAAATAAAAGAATAAGATACATTTTTTAAAGAGTTGAGCCCACCACCCCCTATTGTGGTAGATGGACTGACGAACACCAATTCTTACCCTCTGCCTGCATCCACAGCCTGGCAGCGGCCTCCTCATGGAGGCAGCGCTTCACTGGGGCTCCTCTACGTGACTTGTTCCGGCCAAGGGTAGAGCATGGCGGCAACAGTATGTCAGTCTGAGCCGCAGCCTTAAGAGACACAGCTTGCTTCTACTTTCCCTGCTTGCACCTCTGCAACCAGCAGGGAAGAAGGCACCATGCCAGCCTGTTGGGTTCCGAGGAGATGAGCCATGCGGAGCAGAGCTGCAAACTACAGGACACAGCAGAGCCCCTGGACTCACATAGGTTAGGGGGCCAGGAATAAACGCTGATGGGTATATCCGACTGAGATTCTATGTCTGTCTGGATCTGGGATCAGAGAGCTTGAGCCTCTCAGCTGAGGTAAGCCAGAGCTAAAAACTGAAAGCAAGCCTAATGAGGCCCGCAGGCAGGCTCTTGAGCCCTCCTCACAGTGCGAGAGTCCCAGGAATGACTCACCACCCCCTCACACAATAAGAGGAAACACAGACATAACCACCTGTGGGGCTCTGAACAACAGAGGGATGGGGGTGTGCATCAATCCAGCACCCATGGAGTTAGGAGTGGCTTCTTGTCCAGAGTCCGAGGTAATGGACTCTGCATTCCCAGTCTCCAGGCAGGTCCCCATGGTTACACTGTCCTCCTCCAGACCCAGCAAGAAAGCAGAGAGTGTTCTCCACTGCCCTCAGGCAATGCCCTCAGTCACGGCCCTGTCACTCTCCTCAGTCAGTGTCCTCAGTCACTCTCCTCAGTCAGTGTCCTCAGTCACTACTCTCCTCAGTCAGTGTCCTCAGTCACTACTCTCCTCAGTCACTCTCCTCAGTCAGTGTCCTCAGTCACTCTCCTCAGTCAGTGTCCTCAGTCACTCTCCTCAGTCAGTGTCCTCAGTCACTCTCCTCAGTCAGTGCCCTCAGTCACTACTCTCCTCAGTCACTCTCCTCAGTCAGTGTCCTCAGTCACTCTCCTCAGTCAGTGTCCTTAGTCACTCTCCTCAGTCAGTGTCCTCAGTCACTACTCTCCTCAGTCACTCTCCTCAGTCAGTGTCCTCAGTCACTCTCCTCAGTCAGTGTCCTCAGTCACTCTCCTCAGTCAGTGTCCTCAGTCACTCTCCTCAGTCAGTGCCCTCAGTCACTACTCTCCTCAGTCAGTGCCCTCAGTCACTACTCTCCTCAGTCAGTGTCCTCAGTCACTACTCTCCTCAGTCAGTGTCCTCAGTCCCTCTCCTCAGTCAGTGTCCTCAGTCACTACTGTCCTCAGTCACTCTCCTCAGTCACAGCCCTCAGTCACTGCCCTTAGTCAGTGTCCTCAGTCTCTGCCCTCAGGCACCACCCTCAGGCTAGCTGAATGGTAGGAGAGGAGGCCAAGAGGGGCCAGATGCCTGACTGCCAAGTCCCTTAAGCAGCCCCTTTCCAGTGGGAGGGGGCACACTTCCTCCCCAGGGGTCCTGGGGCAGGGTCTCCACAGGGCTCCTCAGTTGCCTGTCACTATGGGACCTTTTGACTCTTACAGAATGGGTGCGCATTTGTTATTTCTTCATAATTTTCACAATGCTGAGCCATAGGACAGAATTTTCCAGTATACTTCAGGTCACTTTGCCCTCTTCCTCAACTCTATGGCTTACATGTTTTGTTCGCTGCATAAACACACACCTCAGCACCAGGGTTCAGAACAGCACCATGACAGGCTGCACAATTCCCAACAGGTTGGTCAAGCCTTGCATGTCCTGAGCCCCATCCGGACTGCGGCGGCATGGATCCCTGAGATTCCACTGGGAAACCAGGCCCTGAGAAGAGAAGACTTTCTGAGCCTGCTCCATGCTGCCCGGGGACCACAGCGGTCAGGGATGGAGGACCACGTCAGTTGGGGAGAGGGGACCATGGCAGTAGGGGAGGGGGGAACCACGGTGGTCGGGGAGAGGGGACCACGGCAGTCGGGGAGGGGGACCACGGTGGTCAGTGAGGGGGGCCACGGCAGTCAGGGAGTGGGGACCACAGCAGTCAGGGAGGGGGGACCAGCTGTAGCAGCGGCACACAGTTCAGACCCAGACCTCAAGGGAGAGAAACACGGGCTGGGAGTATCAACCTTTGGCCTCTTGGTGTGCACAAATACTTTCTGGACATCACTCACCTCAGGCCACGAGGCAAGGCTGGTTCCAGTCTGTCCCAGGTCCCCAGGACCTCTGTGAGTCAATTAGATCCCTGGGCGCCTTGGAAAAGCCAAGGTCTCACCTTTGCCACTTTGTTGGTGGACCGTTGGCATGGTCTGGGAGCCTGTTAGAGATGCCTGTTAGAGACAGGGGTGTCCCACACCCAGGGCATGAGAATCTACAGCTCACCAAGATCCTCAGGGGACTGGAGTATACATGGCACTGTGAGAAACGCTGCACTAACACGCTGGTCTGAATCACCCAGACCAGGTGCTTCTCACCCCCAGCTGCACGTCAAGATAGTGGTGGTGGGGAGGCAAGAACTTTTCAAAACTCCCATGCCTGCTCCTCCCCACAGAACGCTGTTCCAGGGGGCTAGGCATCGACAGTTCCGGGCTCTGCCCAGCGTTTCTGGGGCCAGGGTAGAGACACATTCGCTCAGACCACCAACTTGTGCCCGGGATGAGGACGGGGCAGAGTCCCTGCTGGGGCTTTCTCAGATGACACAGTTGCCCACCCAATGAGCCACAGAGGGACCCACTGTCCCTGCCCCAGCCCCATTCCTCAGGATCGCTGAGGGGAGAAGATGGAACACTGAGGGACCACTGAGGGAGCCTGGAGAGAAGCTCTACCCAAATCAGGACTAGCATGCCACAGACAGGGGACCTTGATCTCACACTAATAAGGCAGGGCCTTCCTGACAAGCAGCCAAAAAAAGTCAAACATCTGAAAAACACGCACGCACACACAAAACTTTTCAAAGGTGCTAGTCAAACACTCTGGGAACATTTAGTGCTAGACAATGTCAAGAAGCAAATTCTTTTCTCATTTCATAATCTAATTTATGTGAAAAGAAACCTGGATGGAGAAAAATTACTCCAGTAACTGAACATAGTATCTGTGGAGTCAGGTACTACACTGAATCACTAACTTGACGGAGGTGCAAACAAACAGTTCTTCTCAAAGCCCGCAGGATGGCCTAAGCTTTGAGGATTAAGGGTTAAGGAAGGTTCAAATGGAAGTTCTGCCCATTCCAAGTTGTTGACATTGACCAAGTTTCTACATCTCTCTTACTCTCGTGTTCCTCAGGTATAAAATGGGGATAAAAGTACCATTTATAAGTTGCTGTGAGGATTAAGCAAGGTTATTCCTAACGCACTGAAACCAATGCCTGGTATGTACTTAGGGTTTAACAAATATTTACTCTTAACAGTATCAATAATATACTATTGAGGATAAAAGTAATGCATCTCTGGTGGACAACCCAGCAATACGTAAAGAGGCTTAAAAATCTTCAAACCTAATTGTCCCGCTTCTGTAGATCAATCTTAAAGAAATAATCTCAAAACCATGTATAAATAGGTGGACATGGAATGATTTAGGTGTGAGTCAGCAACTAGAAGAAACCCAAATGCCCCAAGACATCCAGCAGGAGAGTAAGAATTAGGTCAATCATTTCGCACATTTTTCTTCTTTTTCTTTTCTCAATTCTTGTGTAATAAACATGTAGTAGTTTTACACTGAGAACACAAAACCAAATCCCCATTTTAAAAAATCCTTTTAACCAGCACGAAATGATGCCTTGATTCTTAAGATCCACATACATTTTAAGTCCACATAAATTTTGTCCCATGACATTTTCAATGTTTAGAATTTAAGTGAGATTCCCACAATATGTTTTATAATGAAAAACTGCATAACTCATCAAATAACTGGCACTTTATGTCTTTTGGTTGAGAACCCCTGGCTTGTGCACAGAGCATGCAAAGCGAACACGACCAGCCCTGCCCATACCGTTGTCCTGGGTCTCCATGGCGCGTCCTGGACACACAGCTGACCCTGCTGGCCCCACACACCAGTACATGCTGGGCGGTAGCCGAGACATTCCAGCCATCAACCCTCAGGGTAGCTGCTCTCCCAAGTCAGTTCCTGCCGTGGTCAGAGCTGCTGCTGCTGCTGCTGCTGCTGCTGCTGCTGCCCGAGAGATGGACTAGGTCATGGCTTAGAGTCCAGGGTGGAGCATATCACAGATCCACCACCATGGCTGAGCAGAAAACTGTCTTCTCCTGGTGGTGAAAAAACATCAAGTCAGAAGGCTTTTCTTAACTATCAAGTCCCTTTCCACACCCTTGCACAAACATATTTACAAGGCCATGGAAATATGCACTGGTCATCTCCCTCCCCCATTTTTGCAACATTTCTCTTCACATTCCATCTATTGAGCCACAGAGGGTCAGATGTAGGCAGTGAAGAAACAGGGCACCCCCGCCACACCTGGCAGCTGGGCTTCTGTCCGCCTGAGAAGAGTTCCCCAGACAACCACAGAACACCTACTGTAAAGAGCTCAGTCACTGTTACATCAACACGCACTCATTGTCACCAGCAAGGGGACACTGAGACAGTGAAATGAGGTTCCTACCCTCGGGGTTTTCACCCTCCAGTTGGGGTGGGGCAGACGCATGCAAACAGAGCAAGGCTTCCCTTTGCCCAGGACAGATCCTTCCAGAAGCCTGGAGCTGGGCACATAATGACAAAGTGGTAAGCAGGCAACAGTCCCAAAGAGAAGGGTCTGGAAGGCGCTGGCTATGAAGCCAAGTGAGAGTGAGTCCTGGGGGTGGCAGAAAGGAGCCCCCACGTTCCGCCTGTCCCCTCCACCCCTGGGGGTATCTGGCAATGTCCAGAGGCATTTAGCGGGTGGTAGCCCACAGGGACACTGCTGAACATCCTGCAGCACATAGGGCAGCCGCCAGCCACAGCTGAGAACTACCCAGAGAAATTCTGAGTTGGATTAAGACACATCTCCTAACACCAGGCAGTCTGTGATGAGGCAAGACACTGCTCTCACACGTGGGGCTCCCACTGAGCTTGGGGTCCCTGACACAAGGGCCCAGCCTGCTGATTAAATGACCAGAAACACCCGGAGGGCAAGACCCAGGCCCGGCTCTGCAGGTGAACCGCGCGGTGGGAAGGGATGACCATATGAAACGCATGTGTCCTGCTCAGCATTCCCATGAAGTCTGTAGTACAGACATAAAAAGTATGGTGTCATTAGCAGCTGTTCTCTGAGACAGACAACTCTGAAATGGAGGGTGATGGTAAAGCACCCCCACCAGAAAAAAAACAAACAAGGTAATATATATGATGCCTAAGACAATATCGTCTATTAAAAACAGACATGCACCCTCCTCCCCAGGCAACCCTCCAGAGCATTGCTATGAGATTTCTACCAAGGTCAAGTTTCTGAAGTCACTTTCCACAGGACTGGAGATGGTTCTTCCTTGCAACAATAATAATGGGAGAATCAGGAAGCCAGCAGGGTCTCCTACCTGCTCTCTGAATAACAAGCTCAGAAGGAGACTTCTCTGGCAGTCCAGTGGTTAAGACTCCACGCTTCCAATGCAGTGGGCATGGGTTCAACCCCTGGTTGGGGAACTTAGACCCCACATGCTATGTGGCCAAAAATTAAAAAAAAAAAAAAAAAAGCTCAGAAAATTAATGCTGGAGGGCTGACCCACTGTCTCCCCAGTAAACAGGTTCTAGAAGGTAGGCACTGAACAAGCTGTGAACAAGGCTGTGAGAGCGCCGGAGCTCTCTCATCTTATGGCCTAAAAAAAAAATCAGGCCCCTGGCCCAGGTGATCTGTATTCTTACAAGCAGGGAGGGGTGGGGCTGGGAAAGCCCCTACCAGAGGCCTTGCCCTGGGGCCTCTGTGATCCTGCATCTCCTTGAGCTAAAGAGCAAAAGGTTCAGAGAAACCATGCCTGGAGAAAATCTATGTTTGAAGTCTGGGAGCCTGAAAAGTCCAAGAAGGAAAGAAGGAACACAATTTAGGAGACAATCAAAGCTTTATAAATTGCAAAACCTGATCAGGAAAATCAACTTGAGAGGGGAGAGAGGGAAGCAGCAAACCAGAATCTCTGTTCTAAAATCTGACAGCAATGTCAGAAACCAAAGTGCCCAGCTGTTATCTGCTTTCAGGCGCCTCTCAAAATCAGCTACCAACTATACCCAACAACACCTCAAAAATGCAAAAGCTAGACGTTTCTTCTGAATCAGAAGTATTTTACCATATAATGTTTTTAAGTTAAAGACGTCTTAAGAATATTTTAGGCCAATCCTCACCCAGCCAGTTTGTTCCCCTTTTTATTTTCAGTTTCCTTTTGAAAATCATTTTACCCATGGAGGATTTTGCGACTGGAGCAATTTTTCAATTGTAACTTGCTTTTTGGTTTAGACTTTAGGGTAGTAGTTTTAAAATGAAGTAACTCATGTTTTGCCCTGTATTTGCCCTCTAACTGATCTTAGCTTCTTCCTGCTTCTTTTGGGTTCAGATCAATGAAACAAATAATGGTTTCAAGTTACATGTTTTCTTTTCATTATAGTATATATATCCTAAAGAGGGCTTCAAGAAGTGTCCTGCAATAATAATTATTTTAATAATTTTTAAAATCTCATCAAAGATGAAAAAGAAAAAAGGAACCTGACATTCCTTCTACAAATGTTTTTATTGGGTCCTTTTCATAGGGAGTGAGCTTCAAGAGTTAATGAAACTTACAGTTGGTGAGAAAGACACTGTTAAGTAAGTACTTGCTATAAACTTTCTGCCACGGAAGGAACATCCTGACTCTGCTCACTTGTTTTAGGAAGTTTGAACTGGCAGTGCCAAAGAGCAGGAAGACACTTGCAAGTGAAGCATGTTAGGAATATAGTTATCATCCAGTTCTTTTTTGAATCAAAAGCCTAGTCGAGATGGTAGACCCATCTATGAGACACCCTTTTGGCATTATTGGCATCCCTTGACGAATACTGGCTTGCCTATGAAATGTGTTTAATGCATTTGTGGACATCAAAAATAATACAGAAGTACAAACTGGAGAAACGTGTACTTCTCAATCCCAGATGAGAACAGAAGCCCTTCAAGAGCCTAAGCCACAAACAAGCTAAGGCTGTCAATTCACCACTCAGTCTTTCTACTTGTATGCATTTGGTGCCTCCTGGACAGCTCTGGGAGTAAAGGCAAAGCAGTGAGCAAGGTAGGTAGGGTCTCTGACACCTGGAGCAAGAGAAGAAACCTCCAGGAGTAATTAAAGGAGTAATTAAACAGATAAAGTAGGAACACAGACAGTAGTAACTAAAAAGAAGCACACACAATTGTGAGAGTGAGGTTGGGTTTGGAGAGGGTGGCAGGGTGAGCCAGGGGGTCTGAGATGGCAGAGGCAAGATCAACTGGGGGATGTGAGGGCAAGGAGGTCTTTGGGATTTCATGCCAAGCACAAGAGGAAACTATTGAGGATTCCTAGTAGAGGACTGACACTCTCTAATTTACCTTTTTAGACAATAAATTACTTAGGCTCCCAAATAGAGAATGGGGGAGGGGAGAGCCGCAATTGCAGGAAAGATGCTAGTACCTTGGACTAGGGCCAGGTGGAGAAGGAGAAGGGGCTGGACCTGAACACCACGTTTGAGAGGCCGACTCAACAGTCCTTGACAACAACTGAACTCAAGGGACGAGGACACGTGAGGGAAGACAGCTCCCAGGTTTTTATGTCTCAGGTTTTGATCTGAGTCTACCGAGGCCACTCCCTGAGGTGTGGAAGCCTGCGGAGGGAGAGGTTTGGCAGGCCTACAAACCTCCTATAAGAACAAACTGGGTGTGAAGTTTTTACGTTTTCAATTTAATGTTTTATTCCTTTAGAACATTAACAAGGATAATTAAATCAGACCACAAAAGGAATTCAATGTTAGCATTTTTCAAAATCGTGCGTGTTCTAGTTGCCCCTTTAACGCTCTCGGAATCAGGACACAATGGGAGTGAGTGGCAAACTCTAAAGAGTGCATTTGGTGAAAAAGCTCGCTGAAAACGTAACAGCACGCTCCTGTTTCCTTACATCTCCGATGCTTGTGGAAGAAAAACTCCCCGGCCTCACAAGGTGGACTGGCAGGGTAAGCGGACCGCAGAGATCCCAGAGCCTCGGTCGTCACCGTCCCCCTGGGGTCCCCGGCCTTCCGCCGCCGCGATCGCACTCATCTCCCGCGGCCCGGCCGCGGAAGGTCGCCCGCAGAGGCCGCCAGGAGACGGCGGGTTCCATCCCGGACTTGGGGATGGGGGGGAGGCGACGGCTCCCGGGCGCCCCGCGCCGCCAGGCTGTCCCGCGCCGCGCCCCCGCGCCGCCCTGCACTCACACTCACCCGCGCACACGCGCGGCCGCTCCCGCTCGAAGGCAGGGGCTTCTCCAAGGGCGGAGGAATCGTGCGGACGCCTTGGCGTCTCTTCCTTCAGTGGCTTTCGCCCGCTGCCCCGGCCAGGCGCCGGCCAGCAGAGTCGGGGTGCCCCGCCCAGGCGCCCCCCCAACCCCCCCAGCCCGAGGGCGCGGCGGGAGACGCAGGGCCGTGCGTCGGGGCGGGTAGGGGAGACGCTTCCCGCGCGGGGCCTGGGCGGCGGGGCCGGGACTCCGCGCCGGCCACGGCGGGGCAGCGCTTACCTGCGGGCGGCGGCGGGCAGGGCCGCGGGCGCCTGGGGCGCGGGGCTGCGCGGGGCTGGGCGGACGGCGGCGCTCGGGGCCGGGCCGCCCCTCTGCCCTCCTCTGCCGAGGCTCCGGCCGCGCGCCGGGGGCCGGGCCGGGCCAGGCTCACTTCCTCAATCCTGAGCGGGGCGGGCGGCGCGCGGGGCGCGCGGGGCGAGGGGCGGCCGCCGAGAGGCCTCCGCACAGCGCGCGCGGGAAGACCCTGCGCTCGCCCGCAGGCTTCCCTCACCGAGACCCCGGAGGCCACGGGGCCCGCAGGCGCCCCCAGCGTCTGTTTCCTCCAGGTCTGGGTCCCCTGCCCTCCGGCAGGGCAGTCGCAGCGGCAAGATTGGTCGGTTCTCGGCGCAGCCCAGCGTTCCCTGCCCCTCTGTTCCGCTCAGCAGCGAGATCCGCTGGTGAACTCCGGACTCGTCTATGGAGGCAGTAAATACTCAAAAGACAGGAATATTCGTTTGTGTACAACTTTTTATACAGAAGACTAGACGTATGTAATGTAAAATTTTAATAGTTTGCAAACCTCACTCCTTCCACCACATGGATTTACTAAATTACGGATACATACAAAGATATCACTGGTGAATCATTTTAAATTGTCTGGGTTTATTTTGGGGGTGGTGGTGGTAGATAAATCTGCTGGAGTGTAGGCAATTTATATTTCAACCTAATAAAAATATGTACCCACAATTAAGGCCATTATCCAAAGACAGATCATAATGCTGTACGTACATGCGGGCGGCAGGCTTTAGATTGGGCTCCACGTGCCCACCCGGGAAGAGACTTCTTCGGAAAAAGCGGATGGTTCTGCACCCTGGCAGGCTCCTCCCGTGTAAGGCTATGACGGGAACATGCCCAGGGTTTATCCCAAGGCACAGAGACAAATCGCCAGCACCCTCACTGCTGTTTCACAAAAGCCGGCCAGCAGCAGCCCGCTCCCGCCTCCACGACCTCGCAGACACTCTGAGCGGTCACCATGGGCGAGTTTCCTGGGTCCCTGTTTGAAGAGGGGTCCACGGGGCAGCTGAGTTTTGCGCCCAAGAGGCTGCCCCGCCGGCTGGCCTGGACCACACTCCCCTCCAAAAGGGAGGGTGCAGTTCTGCAATCCTGCCTTCTCCACCACGGTTCTAATTCCAGTATGCAAAACGCGGCAGTATGGTCGCTACCAAAAAGTCCCTAATAATTTGCAGGGCGTGGCGTCCACGGTGCCAAGTGAGCCCGGCAATCGCGGCACGGCGCACACCCCCACCCCGAGGCGCCCGGTCCTGCCATCTAGCGGGACCGCGAGGAAGCGAGCGCCGGGGGACCGGCGGACCAGGGGGCAGACGTGTCCCATGGGGGTGAGGACAAGCCCGTTTTAAATGAGCTTGCCATCCGCTTAGAAATGTGTCCAAGGTAGAAAGCGCTTGTCACATGGGTGGCCTGTTTCGAGCTGGTTGTATCCCAGCATTTAACCTTATCCTTGGCATGCATTACTTACAGGTTTGCATGAGGCGATTGTTACAGGTCAGTTAAGATTTCTTTATCCTTCTTAACTGACCAACGTCTCACGTTGGAATACTGGTAAAGAATCCACCTGCAGCGCATAATTCCTGAGTTCCATCCCTGGGTGGGGAAGATCCCCTGGAGAAGGGAACGGCTACCCACTCCAGTGTTCTGGCCTGGAGAAAAAAAAGAATTGGACAAGACTGAGTGACTTTCACTTTCACTTTCTAGGTTTTATCCTAAGTAGGTAATGGAGGCAGGGAGGGGTTTCCCTGGTGACTCAGATGGTAAAGAATCCGCTTGCAATGCGGGAGACCTGGGTTCCATTGCTGGGTTGGGAAGATCCCCTGGAGAAGGGAGTGGCTACCCACCCCAGTATTCTGGTCTGGAGAATTCCATGGACTGCATAGTCCATGGGGTTGCAGAGTTGGTCGGGACCAAGCAACTTTCACTTTCACGGTGGGGTCAATTGGAAGCTACCTCCCTGAGCTACCCTTTCTGCCTTCTGAAGGTGTGGTAGTTTTTTTTTTAATTGGAGGATAATTGCTTTGCAACATTGGGTTGGTTTCTGCCACACATCAACATGAATCAGCTGTATACACACATCCCCTCCCTCTTGAACCTATCTCTGACTTCCCACCCATTCCCACTCCTCTAGGTTGTCACAGACCAAAGGATCTGAGCTCCCTGCGTCATATATCGAATTCTCGCTGGCTATTCATTTTACATACGTAAAGTATATGTTTCAGTGCTACTCTCAATTCTCTCCTTTCCCAGCTGTGCCCACAAGTCTGTTCTCTATGCGTCTCCATTGCTGCCCTACAAACAAGTTCATCAGCACCATACTTTTTGTTGTTGTTCAGTCGTTCAGTCATGTCTGATTCCTTGTGAGCCCATGGACTGCAGCACAGCAAGCTTTCCTGTCCTTCACCATCTTCCAGAGTCTGCTCAAACTCATGCCCATCAAGTCGGTGATGCCATCCAACCATCTCATCCTCTGTTGTCCCCTTCTCCTGCCTTCAACCTTCCCCAGCATCCTTCCCACCATCCTTCTAGATTTCATATATATGCATTAATGTATGATATTTGTTTTTCTCTTTCTGACTTTAACTTCACCAACAAAGATGCAGAGCCTCTGAGGCCAAGCTTGCTGCCTCATCCACCCCCAAAACCGTAAAAGTGAGTTTCACACTCAAGCTAAGCACAGGACTTGACTGATTGAGCAAATGAAATTTTACCCTTAAGTGATTGAAACCACTTTATTGTAAGTCACTTTGTGCCAAAGTTCTAAGGAAAAGAAAGGTCAGTCACAGAATTAAAAGGGACCTTCTGGTCTTTAAATGAAAAACCATAGTTTTTTTTCAAATATCTGATTTTATTTTATAGTTATTGCATTGTTGGACACAATCTGCAATTAGGGTCAGAATTCCCAGGCCAATAGATTTTTTTTAAACCATACCACAGGAGTAAACCTTAAAAGAAGTAAAGTCTAATACTATATAGATTTCCATTTCTAAATACAGTATATTACAGAAGGTTAAATACATCACCTCTGTTTACTTACAACTATAAAAAGATACATTAACTCTACCAATTATAAATAATGTAGCATCATATTAAAGGCATTATTGTACAAGGAAAGAATAAGAACCCTCTAATGTATTACTATCAAGGTTAGTGTCTTTAGTTACTTGAGATAAAATCCTGAAAATTGAGCATATGAAGTCAAATCCTGATTTAACAAGTTACTGGTACTCTAAGTGATGTGTTGTTAATTGATTGAGAGAAGGTGAATTGCATATTGCATATTTCCAACAGGAATGATTACCTCACTTCACATAAGACTTTCTCTATACATAACACTGATTTTGACATAAACCTCCATTTCATTATTCTCCCCCCCCAACTTAATTCTCGAACATAACTTAATTCTCAAACATAAGCACCATTAGAAAAGTACAAGTTAGTAATAGTAAAAGTATCTGAATAACACAATTGCAGTTTGGTTTTGTTTTTTTAAAGCTCTGTGGGACACTTTCAGTTTTCCAAGCTGAAACTTGGAATTGCACATCCTTTGGATACACAAAGAGGAAAAGAAAACTTTTCAACCTGTCAGTGCAGTGCTCAAGCCACTCTAGTAGCAGACCCAGTTCCTCCATGAAGTTCAGATGTTATTTGTTAATTAATCATAATTAATATCAAAACAGGATTTTGAAAAACCAGAGCTGTATTACAACAGCAGTCTTTTCAGTTGTGTATGTCTTACTCATCTAAAATGTTGATAACTCATCTGAAGAAAAGGAAAACTACATAGGCTTATCATAAATCAATGCAAGTGGAGAAATGCCTAACTGGGAAAAGCAAATTATGGCTTTAATTAGTAAAATGTGGGACTTAATGATCCTAGAATCTGTACTGTCAGAGCACTGCGTCTTTAGCAGTGATGGTGACACTCACGACATTTCCTGCCTTGATTAAGGTAGACCATGACATGCATTAGATAAGCTCTTATGGTTGTTGATTTGGTCCTATTCCAAAGGCTGTATTGGTTTTAAGCTGAGTCCCATGGTCAATGTCAAGATGCAGTCCTTGAAGACCACTCACACCAGGGCCTTCAGGACCCTTCCATGGTACTTGCTTCCCCTAAGTTCCCCACATCAGATCCTCCCAACCTTGTTTTTAAAAAAAAATTTTTTTAAACTTAGTGCTATTCCTTCCTAGTGAGTAGTTGGAGGGGCTTGTTCTGTGGGCAGGTAATCATGAGGAACCTGCAGGTAGAGTCCTGTGTGCAGAACATACAGGGGATTTTTTTTTCCCAAACCCTTACTGGAGTTAGAGTCAACAAAGCATTTTAAAGTGACGGCTCGATACTTCAAATACCACTTCCTGTTGACAGTGCCCTGAACCTCCTCACTGTCCCAGGGATCTGGTAGAAAGCAGAAAACAGAGATGGCCCTTAATCCCAACCCCAGGCAGGACTGCAATTTCACACACAATACTTCTGTCAATAAAGAAGGAATGTAAGAGGAAAACAAAAATTGTTCAAATCCAGTAGATTTAAAGTCTCCAGAAGAAAGTATCCCAGGAAGGTCAGAATGTAGGTTTTTCTTCGGTAAGTTCGATCAGCCACATTCAGTTGTCAGATGTTTGAAGAAGGAACCTGCTTCTCCTTCAGGGATCCTTGTCATCAAGTTTGATGGTGACAGTTTTCACTTCTGTGTATTCAGCCAGCGCATATTCACCTCTGTGATCACAGAAAAGAGAGATATAAAATGGGGAGGCACTTAGCCACTCTGCGTGAACTTTGGTCTAATGCTTCAAAGGTGAGTACTCTGTTGAGCAGTCTGGAGTCTGTGCAAAAGGCCAAACAATGAAGATTTAATAGAGTCTAAGGGCTGCAAGACCATCAGTAAATTTAAGTACCTGGATATGTAACTGAAGGTTAAATATCAAGTTGTGTATGTGTGTGATGCTTTTGAAATATTCAGGACTAAGGATTTGCCTTCAAAGGATGAAGGGTATTTAAAACAAAGTGGTGAATTCCCTGGATGAGGGGTGGCAAGCAGAGAGAGCCTGTGCAGTGAGGGATGGGCAAGCTGAGGAGTAGATGGATAACTTCTGCAGATTTATAACTTCTGCAGGCAATTTGGAGCCACTGGAAGAGACAAGAAGAGGGAGAGGCCCGAAGCTATTGACTGGGCTGTGGCCACAGCATCCGTGAGAGGCAGGGCTAGGAAGGACCTGGAGCTGGTCTTGAAGAGCACAGCTGGGCATCAGCTGTGAGAAGAATGAGGCCCGGACAGGGGCACGGATGTTAGCGGAGTGGACGCGAGGGAGTCCATGGCCTCTGAGTCCATGTTTCTGATATGTGTCCCTTCCTTAAGTCCTGCAGAGCCCAGTGACCTGACTCAGGCACCATGAATCATGCTAGGGCCCCTTCCCAGAATTGAGAGGTGGCTTTGGATCGATTTAAAAGTCTCTGCAACCCTTGCTCTGCCATTATGTAAATAAGAAAGTGTACCTGTTTAGGAAAAGAGGTAGGCGTTGAGGGGGCTACTGAGGCTCTGCCACTAGAAACATTCGAGACAGAATTCCATCTCATCCCTTAGACCAATGCTTTTCAAAGCGTGGCTCCCTGACCAGCAGATCAGCCTCACCTCAGAACTTGCTAGAAATGCAGAGGTTCAGGACCCCCAGACCTTCTGTGGGAGGCAGAATAATGCCCGCCTCAAGGTGTCCTTATCACAAGTCACTGAAGCTTCAAAAATATCGTATGACGAAGGGGAATTAGGGTTGCAGACGGAATTAAAATTGCTAGTTAGCCGACTTTAAAATAGGGAGTGTATCCTGAATTATCTGGGTGGACCCAGAGTAATCACAAGGACCCCTGAAGGAGGAAGAGGGAGACAGAAGAGATTCAGAGGACGGTGAAACTATAGACCAGCTCAGAGAAATGCAACAGCACTGCCTTTGAAATGAAGGAAGGGGCTGCCAGCCAAGGAATATGGGAGGGAGGCCCTAGAAGCTGGAGAAGGCAAGGAAATAGATTCTTTCCCTTGAGTCTCCAGAAAGGAATGTAGCCCTGCAGAGATCTTGATTTTAGCCAAGGGAGAGCATGTCAGATTTTCAGTCTTCAGGACCATAAGATAATAAATTCATGTTGTTTAAGCCAAAAATTTCATGATTATTTATTGTAGCAGCAATAGAAAATTAATACATCTATTGAACCTAGGAGTGGGACCCAGAAATCTGTGTTTTAACAGCCAGAGGATTAACAAGTCATTGGATTCTTATGCAGTTCACGTTGGATAACTACAGGCTTGGATCTGTGCAGTTTAGGCAAGTTTTTTGCCTTCACTGAGCCTCAATATTATCATCTGTGTAAAATGGGAATACCATCACCTCCTTATAGTTAGAATTGATTCAAATAGAACAAGTTTGCCTACTATGTGCTAGGTAAAAAGTAAATGGTAGAAAGTAATATTATTATTTTATTGCTAATGTGTCATTGAGATTCTATGTTAGTGTCCTAAAACCAAATTCAAGGACCTGTGATAATGGGTGAATTATTTTGTAATTCTTTTCTAAACACAACAAAAACATAGAAGCCATATATAGAACATTAAGTCCAACTTTTGCAGAGCAGAAAGCTCCATCAAAAGTCCAAAGGCAAATTACAAACTAGAAAAATTACATTTACAACACGGTCAGAAATAGAGTGCTGTTTTCCCTAAAGCACAAAGAACTCTTACAAACCAATTTTTAAAAAATGGAAAAATCAACAAAAGATACAAACAGTTTGCAGAAAAAAAAAAATAAGGATTACCATAGGTGTTATTAAGGTGCTCAATCCCTTACCATTAAAGAAATGCAAACCAAAAGAGTGAGGGGCCCAGTCTTCATGTGCTGGATACCTGATTTGGGGAATTTATTCTGAAAACAATCTCCCACAAGTGCATAAGGACAGATGCACAAGGAAGACAGCAGCAGGTTTGAGGCAGCAACACTCCTTGGGAACAGCACCAAAGTTAGTCATAGGAGACCACCAATGAAAACACAGCACGTCCAAAGCCCATTCTTAACAGCACAGTATTTTCCTCTCAAGTCATTTGAAAACAGAAAAGAAATACATGTTTACATCAATTGTATGCATAGAAAATGTACAAAACCTTTAAATATGAGCACATAGTATTACAGTGTAAAAATTCAAAGTAGTGGATTTGTCAGCTTCATAAAGAAAAGCAAACCAAGTGATGAAATCATGTTGAACCAGCACACAACTAGTAAGTCCAATATGAAATCACCCTGTAAAATGAAGTGCATGAATCACTTCATTCTTTTTATTCCTGCACTCACTGCCTTGCTCAAGTTTTTGTCACTTTTATTTGCTCCACTGTGGCATTTCCTAAACAGCTTCTCAGCCAGTTGTGACCACCTTGGGGCTCAAGGCCATCCGTAAGCCTAGTCTTTCTGCCACTGGACCTCACCAGAACACCTGGGCGCTGGTACTGCTGATTACAGAGTTCACTGCTGTGCGCTCAGTGCCCAGCATGTGCCCGGGGCATCAAAGGTGCTCAGTAAATATATGCCAGTGAACAAAGAACAAGTGAACAAAAGGAACCCACTGGATGGCAGAACAGTCGTTACTTCTAACAAATGGGATTGAGGGTCAAGGGAGGAAAGCCTTGACTTTCCACGTGTCTCTACAGGGTGGATTTTTTTTTTCCTTACTGTATTGCAAAGCAAAACAAAGAACTAAGAAAAACACCCAGGAGGAGGAGAAACTGCAGGCTTCGTTCCCAGATCAGCACAGGGGGAGACGTGAGCGACCCGTGGGTGGCCAGCGGAGAGCCCGCCGAGCCAGGAGCCTGGGGACGGGGAAAACCATGGAATCCACCACATGGGGCTCCACATGGAAAAGGGGAACTTACTGCAATGTGAAGACATTAATTAGAAACAACTGAAAGTGGGGATTGGTTTTCGAGCCGGTTTCCGGGCTCCTTGTGGATTATGTTAAAGTACATTGTCAAAAACTTTGGGAAAAATATATGCCAAGGGCCAAAAAAAACAGATGTCCACAGAAGTCCCTATTGCAGCTAATCGGCAGGATGATGCATGGCCTGGGTGCAGTGGGTCCTCCCCAGGTCCTCCTGCAGTGGACAGGCAGAAGCACAGAGGAGGGGGAAGACGCAGGCCAGGAAAGCAGGGAACGGACAGAGGGTAGGAGTCAGCTGCCCAGGAGTCAGGTGAGTCCCACACACCCTTCCTGCAGCTCTGACATCCAAGGATATCTGCTTCAGTGACTGAAGATTTTGCTGTGGATGGAGGCTGCGCCTGGCCCCAGAGGAGGGCCTTGTGGGGGCTGGCTGAGGCCGCAGCACAGAGGAGACAGATGAGGGGAGCCCAGGGGAGCAAGGCCCTGCGGTCTGCCAGGTTTAAGAGTTCAAACTCAGGGGCTTCCCTGGCAGTTCAGGGTTAGAAGGAAGCCACCTGTCAACGCAGGAGGCGTGGGTTGGATCCCCAATCCAGGAAGATCCCACATGCCACAGAGCGACCGAGCCCAATGCCACACTATTGAGCCTGTGCTCTAGAACCGTATTACCAAAGCGCGTGTCCCAGAGCCCGGTGCCCCGCAAGAGAAGCTACTGCAGTCAGAAGCCTGCACAGCACGACGAAGAGTAGCTCCCACCAGCCGCCGCTAGAGAAAAGGCCCCGCAGCAATGAAGCCCCATCACAGCCAATGAATAAGTGAGTACACATAGAAATAAAAGAGTCCTGTTCCAACTTTCTCACTTACTGGCAGTGTGACCTGGAGAAGGCACAGGACTGCCCTGAGTTTTCTCATCCGAAAACAGGGACGGCAGCAGTACCCACCTGCAGTGGACTGCACGTGTGTGTCTGCCTGAAATTTGCCAGCTGAAGCCCTAACCCTTCATGTGAAGGAATCAGGAAGCAGGGCCTTTTATCTTGGGCCTGATACAGGAGACCACAGTCTAGGCCGATGGAGCACAGCTTCCCAAAGGGCAAGACAGAAGGAAACCACGAAGGAGCACGCGGCGTGACAGGCTGGGAGGCTCAGCGTGTCGCAAGACCCCTCTGGGGAAATGCCCGAGACCCCAGGGTCTGTCCTGAGACCTGGCTAGTGGGCAGAAGGGCCACATCCTGACCGCGGAGAGCGCCCACCCTCCCTGCTTTCCCAGCCCTGCCCTGTCCTCAGGTGGAGGTTCAAGCACCTGCTGCATAGCTCCATGAGGGCTGGGTGCTGGGGGGTCGCTGAGGCTGGGGGTCGGTCTCGGGGCATGAGGGTGTGGGTGGGGCAGCGGGGAGAGGAGAGAAGACGGGAGGCCAGCCCATCCCATGGGTAGAGCTGACCCAGGCAGGCACACACGAGCACAGGGCAGGGCTCTGGACTGAGCACCCACCACTATCCTATGGCAGGCGCGCAGTGACAGGAACACTTACAGTTCTCTGCCGTTCCCCGACATTTTGAAGCCACCAAACGGAGCCTGTGCATAGATGGCATTGTAGCAGTTGATCCTGGAAAGAGAATAGAGAGATGCTTGTGGTCACCGGGAGAGGATCCGGCCAGCCCTTGAGTGCTGAGGGCGCTAGGCGCCGGGGGCAGAGCATTGCCAAAGTGACGGTCTGTGTCCAGGTTTTATACCAGGAAAGCCGTGTTTTCAATCTCTGTCCTCGCTCTCACCACCAGAAACTAAAGTTTGAATATCGTGAAGTATAAGTCTTCTCACGGGGGTAGGAAGGAAATGACAAGGGGAGAAAAAGACAGAGGTGAATTTTGCTGAGGGAATAAGAATCAGCTCTGAAATGAGACGGAACTCATTTCAAAGTTCTGCTGCTTCTTGGCCTCCAATTCACATTTATCTTCTAAGACTATCTTTAAAATGAGGATAGTGTCATTAGCAGAATTACTGGTGAAAGAGGGACTTTTATCCATACTTTGCACAAGAACATGCGCTGCCCTTAGAATAAAAAGGGGAGGTCCAACACGGTGGTCAAGAGCACCTGCATCAGAGCTGAATGGCTGGCTCTGAGCTCTCCTCTGCCATGTGCTGGCTGTGTGACCCCGGGCAAGTCACACAGTCTCTCTGCGTCTCTATTCTCTCATCTGTGACACAGAGATGATGACACCATCCCGCTCAGAAAGTGGTCACAGGAGGGGGCAACGTGCTCAGATGTGTGTGGTGCATAACGCAGGACAGAAAGCTCTCTGCTAACAGAAGGGTAAGGAGACCAGCTGGCCGGCAGCTCAGAGGCTGGGCACTCACGCTCTACTTACCAGACAGTTCCAGACTCTAATGCGGAGGCCAGCTTCAGTGCTTTATCGAGGTTTTTTGTGAACACAGCTGCCGTGAGTCCATATTCAAGGCTGTTTGCTCTTTTGACCACTTCTTCAACATTTTTGAACTTCAGTATTGGCTGCACTGGTCCAAAAATCTATGATTAATTGGAAGGATGGCAATGAGAGGCTGCCGGAGTGAAGCTCCTTCCGTGCGCTCTTTTCACACACCCAGTGCTCACACCCGGGAGAGGATGACTGAAGGAGAGTGCCCAAGCATCTTTTTAGCTGTGCAGTGGTTGAAATCTGAAGGAGAAGACTGAACTAAACAAAAATAAAAAAATAACCACCAGAATACTATGTTGGGCGGAAGCTCTGTCACTGTGGTCAGGGCGTCCAGAAGCCCCAGCCTCAGAGGAGCCCCAGATGCTGGAAGGCACAAACAGCTCTGAGAGTCACCCCAGGAGAGTTACTGTGAGGGTGTTTGCAGGCACAGACTGTGGGCCCTGGCCTCTCTGGGCTGTGTTTTCTACCAAAGAAGATGCCCTGAAGTGTTTCCCTAATAATTCCCGGGGGAAAGAGTGAGGCCGTGTTCGTCACCATCTGCAGCACAGCAAATGTAAGGAAAGAGTTACAGGCTGAGCGTTCAGAGGTAATTTTGAAAGGAGCCTGTAACGGATTCAGTGTTCAGCACCACAGCCCAGGAGGACAGTGTCAGCCTGCCAAAATACCTCCCCTGGTTCCCAAGGAGCTTGTCTCGCAGAGGTTTAAACAGCTGAGTCTCATGCCATCAAGGTACAGTTAGTAACCCCCCAAAAATCTCAAGGAGAACGTGTATAAAAGGCTCATACCAGCAAGACTCTGGCAGTGATTCCCTCTTTCATGTGCCCCAAAAATGCACAGCCTGGGGTCCGAGCACCTGGGACCCAGGTGGTAACCAGTTCCAGCTAGCTTAACAGTGGCCCCGAAAGACAGAATTACACTCTTACAGGAGTTACCCTAATTTCCACCACTTCCAAGGATGCCCATGATGGACAACTTCTAAGAGAATTCTAGTCAGGACAGGTCTTTGGAATGAACAGTTACCATTTAGGTGTGGTCTGGGGGAAGTGAATGCGGCTTTGGGCCCTGAATCCCCAGCTCAGTTTATGTTAAGAGCACAGGTTGCAATGGCTCTCCACCCCCAGCTAACCTGAGGACACGTCAGAACACAGAAGAGGGGCTGTTGTTCCTTAGAGAGGATGAGCAAGACATGGAAATGGGGGTTAGGACAAGCTCTACACAGAGCTCCGGGGTCCCGGGGCAAGACGACTGCCCAGAGGAGAGAGAAGAGACTGCAGAGAAAGGAAAACACTCCCCTCCCAAAGGCTTCGGGGATCCCTTGGCCCTGGAGAAGGCTCTTTTTGAGAGGCCCAGCCCCTTTTCCCACCCCCAAGGCCCCAGCTCAGCACAGGACACGGTCTTCCCCGCAGCCCCCTGACCTCCTCTTTAGCGATCCGCATGGTGTCCGTAACTTCTGAGAAGACAGTGGGTTTGATGAAGAGCCCCCTGTCCTCCATGGCAGAGCCCCCACATTCCAGCTTGGCTCCCTCCTTCTTTCCACTCTCGATCAGATCGATGATTTTGTCAAACTGCTTCTGGTCAATCTGCAAAACAGAGAGAGGTAAGCTTGGCTTCTTTCTGGATGGTGACTTCCAGCTTATGTGTCCAACAGCCTCCTGTGTGGTGGCTGACCTCATTACGTTCTAGCCAAGACAAAATTCATGGACCAGATGTGCCTGGTATGCAAATGTTGCTCCAATGCACAAATCTAGGTTATCTGGGGCAGGAGAGAGATGGGCTGTTCCATCCTCTCCAGGTATGAGTTTATTCATACATCTGACCCCCTCCATGGGTGCTGTGTGCTTAGTCACTCAGTCACGTCTGACTCTTTTGCAACCCTCTGGACTGCAGCCCACCAGGCTCCCTTGTCCATGGGACTTTCCAGGCAAGAATACTGGAGTGGGTTGTCATTTCCTTCTCCAGGGGATCTTCCCAACCTAGGGATGGAACCCACATCTCCTGTGTCTCCTACATTGCAGGTGGATTCTGTACCCGCTTAGCCATCAGGGAAGCCATGCTCTTAATCAAATCCATGGGTGAAACAAGATCTGAAGTGGTCATATTCTTGGTTCTAATTCTTGCATCTTTCTAGGGTTGTCAGATTTAGCAAATAAAACTACAAGATACCCAATTAAATTTGAATTCCTAAGAAAACAAGAAACAATTTTTAAAGTACAAGCAAATCCCCAACAATATTTGGGAGATAGTTATGCTAAAAATGCATCCACTGTTTATCTGAACTGGGTTGTTATTGTTTAGTCACTAAGTTGTGTCTGACTGTTTGTGACCCCATGGACTGCAGCACACCAGGCTTCCCTGTCCTTCACCATCTCCTGGAGTTTGCTCAAACTCATGTCCATTGAGTCGGTGATGCCATCCAACCATCTCATCCTCTGTTGCCCTTTGTCTTCCTGTCCTCAATCTATCCCAGCATCAGGGTCTTTTCCAATGAGTCTTCTCTTTTCATCAGGTGGCTAAATATTGGAGCTTCATCTTCAGCATTTGAACTAGTTGCCATGCATTTTATCTGGCAAAACTGCACACTGCTCCTAGGGCACCACAGATCAGGGTGTAACACTTACTGGAAATCTCCATCCACAGGGCAGAGAAGTGAGAAATAATGCTGACAACCTTAATCATCACCCGTGGACACAAAATAGAGGGTCAAGGGGGTAGAGAGGCTGCTCCAGGTTGGTGGGAAGCCAGCTCATCAGAAGAACTCCACTTTCTGCCACTTTGTTTAAGGGATCTCCTGGGCTGGAGTGTATCCTATAAATACCCAGCTTGTGGATGCTATACTCAACCAGCTGGCAAAGGGCCCCTCTCTGGGAGACTCATGGTGGGGAAGTGCTCTCCCCACTCAAAATGGTCATTCTTCCCAAGTCGATGGGAACCCTGTTCTTACCATGACTCTGTCGTAAATCCCCTTCTCTCTGGCTAGAAGAGACAGAGCTTTGTTAGATAGGTTTGCTGTAGCTGTGACTTTCAGGTAAAAAAGTGGCTCAACTTAAGCAAATTTGAATAAAAAATAACCAAACCTAAGGAGAAAAGGAAAGACATATCCATCTAAATGCAGAGTTCCAAAAGAATAGCAAGGAGAGATAAAAGAGCTTAAGTGATCAATGCAAAGAAATAGAGGAAAACAACAGAATGGGAAAGAAAATTAGAAATACCAAGGGAACACTTCATGCAAAATAAAGAACCGAAATGGTATGGACCTAACAGAAGCACAAGATATTAAGAAGAGGTGGCAAGAATACACAGAAAAACTATACAAAAAAGATCATAATGACCCAGATAACCACAATGGTGTGATCACCCACCTAGAGCTAGATATCCTGGAGTCCAAAGTCAAATGGGCCTTAGGAAGCATCACTACATAGGAGTTCACTATGAACAAAGCTAGTGGAGGTGATGGAATTCCACCTGAGCTATTTCAAATCCTAAAAGATGATGCTGTGAAAGTGCTGCACTCATTATGCCATCTAATTTGGAAAACTCAGCAGTGGCCACAGGACTGGAAAAGGTCAGTTTTCATTCCAATCCCAAAGAATGTTCAAACTACCTCACAATTACATTTATCTCACATGCTAGAAAAGCAGTCCTCAAATTCTCCAAGTGAGGCTTCCACAGTATGTGAACTGAGAACTTCCAGATGTTCAAGCTGGATTTAGAAAAGGTAGAGGGACAAGAGATCAAATTGCAAACAACTGTTGGATCATCGAAAAAGCAAGAGAATTAAAAACAAAACATCTACTTCTGCTTCATTGACTACTCTAGAGCCTTTAACTGTGTGGATCACAACAAACTATGGAAAATTCTTCAAAAGATGGGAATACCAGACCACCTTACCTGCCTCTTGAGAAACCTGTATGCAGGTCAAGAAGCCACAGTTAGAACCGGACATGAACAATAGACTGGTTCCAAATTGGGAATGGAGTACATCAAGGCTGTATATTGTCACCCTGCTTATTTAACTTCTATGCAGAGTACATCATGTGAAATGCTGGGCTGGATAAAGCACAAGCTGGAATCAATATTGCCAGGAGAAATATCAATAACCTCAGATATGCAGATAACACCACCCTTTTGGCAGAAAGTAAAGAAGAACTAAAAAGCCTCTTGATAAATTGAAAATGAGAGTGAAAAAGTTGAATTAAAACTCAACATTCAGAAAACTAAGATCATGGCATATGGTCCCATCACTTCATGGCAAATGATAGGGAAACAACAGAAACAGTGACAGATTTTATTTTCTTGGGTTCCAAAATCACTGCAGGTGGTGACTTCAGCCATAAAAATAAAAGGCACTTACTCCTTGGAAGAAAAGCTATGACAAACCCAGATTACATATTAAAAAGCAGAGATACCACTTTACCAACCAAGGTCCATCTAGTCAAAGCTATGGTTTTTCCAGTGGTCACATATGAATGTGAGAGTTGGACCATAAAGAAAGCTAAGCACTGAAGAATTGATGCTTTTGAACTGTGGTGTTGGAGAAGACTCTTGAGAGTTCCTTGGACTGCAAGGAGATCAAACCAGTCCATCCTAAAGAAAACGAGTCCTGAATATTCATTGGAAGAACTGATATTGAAATTGAAACTCCAATACCTTGGGTACCTAATCTGAATAACTGACTCCTTGGAAAAGCCTGATGCTGAGAAAGATTGAAGGCAAGAGGAGAGGGGACAACAGAGGATGAGATGGTTGGATGGCATCATCGACTTGATGATGAGCAAGCTCCGGGAGTTGGTGACGGACAGGGAAGCCTGGCGTGCTGCAGTCTGCAAAGAGTTGGACATGACTGAGGGGCTGAACTGAACTGAACTGAATGGTGCATTTGGATGACTCTGTCCTTGAGGCACAGGCTGGCTTTCTTTGAAAGACTGGGCACAAACCATGCAAGCCCCTTTACAAGTCATCTCATGAAATGTGGATTCAGTGTCCATAACTCACACTTTGTACCAGGATAGATTCCAAATAGAATAAGGACTTAATCATGAAAGGTGAAGTCATAAAAAGTTTTCAAAATCTCTCAGGTGGGAGAATGCCTTGGTAAAACAGGAGTGCTGATGGCCTTTCTATGACTTGAAATCCAGAAGCCAAGAAGAAATGATTAATAATTTTGAGTAAGAAAAAAAAGAAGGTAAAAGCATTACAAGCAAAGTCAAAGGGCAAAACAACAAACTGGAAAAAACTGACAAGTCACATAATAGAGCTAATCTTTCTAGGATGTAAAGAATTCTTATAAGTGACAAAAAATGATCAACAGTACAAGTGAAAAATATGCAAAGCACACGCATGGTTGATAGAAAAGGGAACATAAATGGCCTTTAAACATAACACTAATATGTTCCTCTTTACTCATTATAAGAGATATGCTATGCTGTATGCTGTGCTGTGCTTAGTCGCTCAGTCATGTCTGACTCTTTGAGACACCATAAACTGTAGCCCATCAGGCTCCTCTGTCCATGGACTTTCTCCAGGCAAGAATGCTGGAGTAGGTTGCCATGCCTTCCTCCAGGGTACCTTCCCACCCCAGGGATCAAACCCAGGTCTCCCACATTGCAGGCGAATGCTTTACCAGCTGAGCTACCTGAGAAGCCCATAAGAGATATATGTACATTAAAAACAAATGAGATATCATTTTTAACTATCAGATGGGCAAAACTCCATACATATTCTGTTAGTAAGGCTGGAGAAACAGGCAGACTCATACAAGGTTGGTAGGAGGATGAGTTGGTTCATCCTTTTGGAATGTAAATTGGCCATGCTTATAGAAATTACAAATGTGCTCTCACTCAGCAATCCCATTTGGGCAATTTGTCCTGCGGATTTCCTTGCATGTGTGTAGAATGACATACTCTGTGGCACTGTACATGATTGCACACACCCACATACTTATCAGTACATGTTTCTAAAATTCTGTTGGATTCATACAGCAGAATTCTACGTACTTACAGAAAAGAACAAGGGAGGTTCCTGTGGTTTGGTATGGTACAGAAAGCTTCAAATTTCTTGTTATGGGATAAAAACCAAGTTGCAAAACAGTATTGTGTACAGGTATTTGGGGTAAAAGCAGGGGAAACCAGAATTCATATTACATTCTTATATACATACTCAATTTTGCTTGTATATACAAAAATTCTGGAGAATTTTCATCTAAGAACCAAGTACACAGGACACCCATGGAGGGAAGAGTAATGACCATGTCTATGGATGAATGGGAGCATGCTTTCTCACTATTGACCTTTGTATGTATTTTGGCTTTTGACCATCTGTATGTGTATGTGTGCTCAGTTGCTCAGTCATGTCTGACTGTTTGCGATCCCAAGGACTGTAGTCTGCCAGGCTCCTCTGTCCATGGGACTTTCCAGGCAAGAATACTGGAGTGGGTTGCCATTTCCTTCTCCAGGGGATCTTCCTGACCCAGGGATCGAATTCATGTTTCCTGTGTCTCTTGCATTGGCAGGCAGATTCCTTTGCATTCCGCCACCTGGTAAGCCCCCCATGTGTATGTACTACCATCTCAAAAAGTAATTCAAGTCACAGCGGGTCTGGTAATCTGGTAATTTCTCTCTGGGTGAACCAAGTCTTGGGTTAAAAGCCAGGATTGCTTTCACCTCCTCTTCAGAGACCAGGAGGTTTGTGGGGCTTCATCAAACTACAGACCTTCAGTGGCCGCTGACCATGTTCTGCCTCCAAGACCATCTATCCTGCAGCAGTACTAGGTCTCCATGGAAACTCTACCTGTCCAGATTTGACTCTCCCTGATGAGTCTGTGTGAACATGTTGTTTAAATCTAATAATCCTCCATGAATGTCAGCTGCTGCCTCACAGTACAGAAGAACCTGCTACGAAGTGAGGGCTGTGCCAGGGCACCGCACCAGAGACAGAGAAGCAGGGCCCAAGGGTAGCGAAGGCAGTGAGCCACTCTGCCGAGAGGAGAGGGTAGAGGGGACTTGGGACCCTGCCCTGCACCAGGCGGGCACGTGAGTCCATGCATCTCTCTGCTTGGTTGCCAAATAAACCTGAATAATTTTGGAGCATGCCGGCTGCCTGCAGGGGACCCTGAGCTGGTCAGCTAGTTGTTTTACTGGCATGAGATAAGGACTATTTAGACAGCTGTAAATCCTCTCAGAGTAAAATCTTATTAACGTAGATGAAAAAGCACTTTTGGAGGAAAAAAAAAAAAACCCAACAGCATCCCTAAATAATACGCTGAAGTTAGACGGCTTAAGGGAGTTTTCAAGAGGACTTTCAGCAGCAGCATCAAAAGCAGTGATGAAATCAACACCACTTTGCCCTCCTGGAAGAGATTTCTATATCTGGCTTCAGAAGTCAAGCCTGAAACCTTGGAAAGAGACTTACAGATCATGATGGGGTAAAAGGGATTCCTTAGGATGGATCAGCTCACATACTTCCCTTGGATTCTGGATTAGCTTCACAATCACAGCAGATTCGATAATGACTTGTGGCCACATCTGTACTCATACCTGAAATCCAACCAAGGCCACTGGACTTTGCGTCACTGGCCACTGCTGGGTTTGGGATTGAGGCCTGACAGGAAGCGGAGTGTTGGCCACAAGGAGAGATGTTTCTCTCCACCAGGGTCACGTGGCACCAGAGCCACAGCATGAGAGCTGGGCCAAGGCAGAGGTGGGCGCTGTGGCCAGACACACACCTTTTCCACGCGGTCCTCCCCACTCCCCAGCCAAGGCGTCCCCCCAAGGATGGTCAGGCAACACCTAACCGATGTGGCTTGAAGTCATGTATATTCACTTCCACCTAGCTTAGGGGGCCTGTGTTTAATGTCCTTCCCCTTAAAGAATAAAATCTTATTAGATGCCTTGAAATTTCCTTAACATTCATCAATAGTTTCCAGATGAGGAAACTGAGGTTTGGAAGGAGCTTGTGGTTTTCATAAAATTCCAGAGCCAAATTTGTCCTCAGTTCCATGGCTTCTCGTGGAAACACACGGGGCCAACACAGGGGGTGAGTAGCGAGCTCCCGGGACAGGCACAGATGGGTGAGTCCTGACATGTGATTTGAAACTTCCTGGCTGGAGCAGGACTTTGGCTACAAGCAAAGTGGGTTGCTGTTGAGCTCCATTTCAATAATTCATGGGACGGTTAGGCTGCCCTCTTTTAAATATTTATCCGTCTGCTGCCCTGAACAATTAGAAAGTGATACAGGATGTGCCCTTTTACTGAGGTTATTAAACCTCGAGGTTATGATCATTTTCATCCTGCTGTTAGCTTCGCAAACCAGGCCACCACAGACATGGTCCTCCCATTCAGGGATGTTTTCTGATCATCTGAGCCCTTTCCACTGGGATTCTGATGGTGTCTGACGGTCACCTCGTCCTGTAGCGCACATGGGCTCGGACACCGCTAGGCCTCTGACTCCAAGTGCCACTTCCACCTGCCCTCTGCTACCTTTCAGCCAGGCTTCTGACTCGCTTCTGCAGAGAGGCCAGCCAAACAATACAGCATCTGCCTGAGGCTCTCTCCTGCGACGCTGCGGCTCAGAAAAGGGGTGCCTCTGGCTGGAGGGTTCAGGCACAGGGGCTTCTGAACCGAGAATGCCTCTCATCTGCCAAGGCCCAGAGCTCGCTGTTTTATTATCTGCCATGAAGAGTCAAGTGTCTGTGTGTCCACTCCGATTTCATAACCCTACCAAGGCCTGACGGGACTGAACTGTCAGTCAGCCTGGGAACAACAGCCCTCAGTGGGCAGGCAAGCGGGTAAGGGAGCCCCTGCTTCAGGAAGGACCCTGAATCCAGGGAGCAGCAGAGCTGTGCAGGGCTGGAGGCCTGTTTGCGTAACCCCCCAATGTGCACTTGGGATGTGACACCTCAGGTACCTGCGGCCCCTGTTCGGTCCTGACGTCAAAGGGGTCTCCAACCGGCCGCTTCTTGGCATACTCCACGCTCCGCCTGACAAACTCGTCGTAGACCTGCTCCTCCACGAACACCCTGGAGGCCGCCGTGCAGCACTGGCCTTGGTTGAAGAACACTCCCTGATGGGCGCACTCCACCGCCAAGCTCACTGCAGGGAGGGGCGACGGGGAGAGGAAGCGATTAAGTCTTTAGGGCCGGACGGGTGACAGCTGCAGCTCTAATTGCCCACATGGGAAAACAGGCCTCAGGATGGCTGCGGTGCAGAAATTAATTTTGCTCAGCGTTTCCCAAAAGCAGAGGATGGGAATGGGGTTTTTCGGGTCCACAGAGTTCAGGGTTAAATAGGTCCCTGACTGCCGGACGTCTCAGCGTCTTTACTGCACTAATGAGCACAGAGACTGTTCATATCCCATCTCCCTTGCCCACAGATCCCTCCTCTTCCTTTTCTGGGGACTAGTGGTCTATAAAACAACCTTTTGTAAGTATTGATGCTGACCAGTTGGTGAGACTTTTTCAAGGGGCCAAAATTTTCCACCTTGAGTAAAAAGAGGGACCTTATGAAAGGAACACAGCACCATGTGTGACTTAAAAGGGTTTTAAAAAATGTATTGATTCTGCCTGGTGAAGGCTGGATCTGCACTGTAGACCTATTCTGAAATAAAACCAGGCACTCAAAATGAACTACCAGGGTGCTCAGGGAGAGAGACCACTGACATTCACTGAGGGGCTTCTAAACCCCTTCTGCCTGCCCCCTCAAATCCAGGGCAGCTTCCCTTTACACAAAGCAGGAGCCAGCCCCCCCGGACATAGGCGGAGGGTCCACATCAGCCAGCAGTGCTCTCCTGGCGGCTCTGAGGAAGGCTGCTCTGGGCTTTAGGAGCCGTCGTTACAGCAAGGGCTTCTGAGTCAGTCACTGCGACAGCAGGACAGCGTCGCAAGGTTCTGTCTCTGCCTGCACCCCACCTTCTCTTAGGCAGCTTCAAACTGCCCCTGCTCCCAAACAACTCATTTACTTCCTGCCGCACCCAGAGGGGGGCAGCTACAGTGTTGGGGGACGGGGGCATGTCACTGTTGACATGACGCCTGGGATGCCAGCTCTGCCAGGATTTAATTTTCTGGGCTGGCACTGCCCAGCCGAGGAAGAGGAGGTGGGTGTTTATGACCCTTGTCAAGCCAACACTCAGACAGGAGCCCGTGTTTCTGCTGCAGGGTTCCTGGTTGGCAGGGAAGAGAGTGAGCTGACGGGCAGAAGGGGCAACCGGATCTGGAGTTACTGGAGGGTACAACAGGAGCCCTGCTCTCTGAGCCTGGAGCTTCAAGCTCCAAATGTGGGTCACCTTGGGGCGGTGCCCAGGACTGCACCACGTGGCTGCACAGACCATTAGCAACACTGGTCCCACTTCCCGTAGGAAGCAGCAAACCAGGCGAAAACGAGCAGTCGGTCTTCACACCCAGCTCCCCTTCCTTCGGTGGCACTTGAGTCCTCACCCAGCCCTCTCTCCTGCCGGGAGCCCACTGTGAGGAGGAGAACTGCTACCAGTGACCTACACCTGGGCCAGAAACGACGCTATGGTCACTTCTTCTTGGGGAAATGTGCGATTCCAACCTTATCTGAGCATGGAACAGAAGGCTTCGGACTCCATGAAAGGCATCCCAGGCACCAGTGGGCAGGCGGGGAGGTGCTCCTCAAGGCAAAGGTGTTTTAGTGTACTTGGGAAATCATACCTTTGGGCAGCTTACCCTGTCAGCAGGTCAGCCACGGCCCGATGTGGCCCTTTATTCCCTCTTCTGGACACAGCAACCCAGAAGAGTGCTTATTTTAATATTGTTTTGTCAGACAGAAGCTGCTGGACAGGCTGGCTTTCCCAGGGAAGAGGTGGTGAAGGGAGAGACAGCACCCAGGCCAGCAGGACACTCCTGAGGGGCCCCTGCCACGGGCCTCTGATTTGTCAGGTTTGAGACAAAGAAGAAAGGGACACCTCACGTCCTCGAGAGCCAGCAAGCAGTGCAGGCAGCACTGAGCCGGAGGGCAGAGTGATGAATGCCTGTGGGGGTGCCTGTCCTCCCATCCTGGCCTCTCCCCAGCCCCACACAGGGGCCCTGAAGAAGACCCAGACCCACTTGTCACAGCCCCAGCTCTGCAAGGACAGGGAAGGAAAACAGCCTCGAAGGGCAGACACAGGCGGCTCGTGTGGCTACACATAAAACATGCCCTCCTCCAGGGCGGCTTTCCACCACGGTAAAGCTGGCCTTTGGGTCTCCGTCTGCCTGTTATTTATGGTGGGACGACCCGAGGTGGAGAAGCATCCCCGTGACGCATGTGCCTGTTTTTCTCAGCTGGTTCTGATTCAGGCAAGGAAGTGAGGAGAAAGCTATGGATGGAGTGAAGCCTCTGGGATGCCTGGGAACAGGGAGACTCACGGTCGGCATCAGCACACACGATGCAGGGGTTCTTCCCGCCAAGCTCCAGCGTCACCCTCTTCAGGTTGCTGTGGGAGGCCGCCTCTTTGACCAGCTTCCCAACCTTCGGGATGAAACCAGATGGGAGAGGCCTCAGACAGAGCTGAAGTGGCGGGACGAGCTGAGCAGGCCCTGGGCCGAGGGGCTGCCCCGTCCGTGCCCTGGGCTCTCGCAGCGTCTCCTCCTGGACCGACCATGACCCGGCTGGAATCCCGGCTCTGGGCGGCTCCCCGCAGGGGTGGACTGGAGCCTCGCGGGCCTGGCGGCTCATCCATGGCCACCCACGGCGGGTGGCGGAGCTGACCTCGCCTGCCGCCCACCACCAGCAGCAGCCGGTCTCACCCGAGGGACAGAGGGGCGGCCACTCTGCGCAGTCCTTTGGTCTGATCTGAGGGGCCCTCCGAGGGCTAGAGAAATGGGGGACCTGACCTGCAGGACGGGAAGGTGCCCATCCTCTGGAAACACACCCCACACCAAGGCCCCAGGGGCAGGGAGAGAACGGCTTCTCCGTGAAGTAACCATGGTAACTCTGCAAACTGTGCCCATCACCCCATACCGCTGGAGCGGGGCTTGGCCCAGCAGCGCCTCATCCTGGGGCCACCGGCTCAGGACCAGCAGACTCAGAGACCAGGGCGTGCAGGGACCAGACAGCCCGCAGGAGGCAGAGCTGGGCTCCCCAGGGCTGAGGGGAGGGTGCCAGCATGAAGCAGGGCACTCAGCTGCTGCTCTGGGACAACCCAGAGGGCCCCACGGGCAGCCCCGCGGTCCCGAGAGGGCAACGGGGGCAGGACGCTCCCCCGGTAAGGGAGAAGACGGGAGACCTGGAAGCCACTGTGGGGAGCCCCGCTCTGCCCCACCCCTCATCCCCCACCCCTCATCCCCACTGCGGGGGCCCTCCCTGCCCCCACCCCTCATCCCCACTGCGGGGCCCCTCTCTGCCCCACCCCTCACCCCCACTGCGGGGGGCCCTCTCTGCCCCATCCCTCATCCCCACTGCAGGGGGCCCCTCCCTGCCCCCACCCCTCATGCCCCACCTTCAGGGTCCTGTCCGCCAGCCACAGAAGAGGGGCTGGGGACCCCCGCTGGACGACGCTAGGAGAGAGGAGCACTTATTGCCTGGGAGACTTTATCCATCTATTTTTTAAGTACAGAGGTGCTTTCTCATTAGAAATAATTCCACATATAGATGCATATAAATTAAAGGGGAAAGATTTTATCTCCCCTCACCTGTAAATGCCCCAGGACTTACCGAGGAGGCCACAGTGAGAATTTCTTGGGAGTCTTTCCACGAAATTTCTATTTATCTACACACACTCTTTTACTAATGGTGTACATACACACACATATATAGTAGTGTTAGTCACTCAGTCGTGTCTGACTCTTTGTGACCCGTAGACTGTAGCCTCACCAGACTACTCCGTCCACAGAATTCTCCAGCAAGAATGCTGGAGTGGGTTGCTGTTTCCTTCTCCAAAACATACATACATACATACATACATATATATATATATATATATATATATATATATATATATGTGTGTGTGTGTCTCTGTGTGTGTGTGTGTGTGTGTGGTATATACTTTCCTGCAGTTTACTATTTGTGTGTGTGCTTCAGCCCAGCTTCTCTTATTGTAATGGCTGTAAAACATCATATAGGATAGATACAATACAATGGAAAGTATGTCCTCAAATGCTCGTGAAAATAGTAATCGCTAAGCAGCTACTTCAAAATGGAATTTCTGAATCAAGAGTTGACACTTTCAAATGTGTGATTGGTACTACAATATTGCCAGTCACCCTAGGCTTATTTTTTTTTAACCTTAATTATGCTGTTTATCCTGTGGCTATTTCACATTTTTATCTTATCTAACAGTATTTTCTTCTGAGGCTTCTGAATAAATAAATTAGATATTTATTTAGCTTGGAAACTGGACCAGTAACTTTTTTTTTTCACTATTGCTATGTACCAAAGTGGGGTCAGATTTTAGCACAGGGATGCATCACAGGTTAGCCTCTAAAGGAAAAATTCCCAGCGACAGCCGCTGGCCCCCACGGCCGGTAAGGAGAGTTACCTCAGTGGACCCAGTGAAGGCTATCTTGTTGATCTGAGGGTGAGAAGAAATCGCTGCTCCCACTGTGGGCCCAAATCCCGGCACGATGTTCACCACGCCTGGAGGGAATCCCACCTGGGAGGAAATTGAGGCGGTATTCAGAGGAGGAGGCTGGGAGAGCCGCGTCTGGGTGAGGCCTCTGAGCAGAGTGGCAGCCTCCCCTGGGAGCTTGGGCCTGGGTCCGACAACCTCTCCAGGACCAGACCTAGTCAGCCAGCGAGTGGGTGGGACGGGGTGAGGCCCATACCCCTCTTCTGGGTGGCATGCCTACCCCAAAGGGCTTCTGAACAAAACAGCAGTGGCCCTTTGTAGCAGAGCACCATTCTGTGTGTGTCTGTATGGATCTGTGTGTGTGTGTGTGTGTGTGTGTGTGTGTGTGTGTGTGTGAGAGAGAAAGAGTCTGTATGGATCTCTCTCTGTGTGTCTGTGTCTGTCTGTGTGTTGAGGGAACAGAGACACCTTGGTCACAGCCCCCAGGCTCAGAGGCATCTGCAAAATACACTTCCTGGGCTTCAACTTACGTTTTTAAAATCTGTCCCATTAATGTTCCAAATGGCAGTATGGTCTCATTCCCTCAGAGTCCCTGACTGTTGACCCAGTCCCTGACTGGGTCGCTCTGAGAGCCAGCACATTCTGAAGGTGGGGAGCAATGTTTCATTCACGTGGTGCTCTGCACATGCTAGGTGCTTTTTATTAACCAAGAGCAGCACAAATGAGCTGGGGGTGGGGAACGCTCTTCCACTGGGGGATGCCATTCTCTTTGTTGTTAATAAAACATGTTAATCCAGAAACGCAAGATTTTAGGACATGGAGCTCCAGTCTTCAGTTTTCCTAAAACTTTTTAAAACAACTGTGACTTTAGAATCTGTAAGTCTAATTATATGATGCCATCAGGTCCCACACCACCGGTCAGAGGAGAGTGGAAAACCGGTCAGTTGCTGGCTCTGCTGCCCTACATCTAAACAGTAAATGTTTCGCTTCCCGGTAGTGCTGGCCTGGCTAAGAGGCGAAATGAATGGACCTTTCCTCCCATCCCTCTTCCTGTTTCTTTAAAAAAAAAAATCTTTGCAGCATACATGCTGGGGACAGAATGAATGAAATACATCACCAGGTGTGTCTGGAAGGAGGTGGCCCTTTGGGCGGCTCATCTCCCCAAGTGGAGGCTGCTAGGGAGAGGACAGGCATCCGAGAGCCAGGACTGGGGAGGAGGATGGGGCTCGCAGCAGACCCTCCAGGAGAACTAGTGGGGTCACAGCTCCAGGAGAAGGACGGACACCGCACAGACTGGGTCTGGAGAAGTCACCTCTCAAGTGACCCCCTTGTAAATTCTCTAGACAAAACATTTGGCCCGAGACCACAGGTTTGAGCTCGTCATCAGAATAAACATTCTCATTAGGATCAGGGGGAGGAATGGAGTCCCTTCTAGTTCAGTGGCCACAAGCAGGAGCAGGGAGGAGCAGCTGCCAAGTGAAACCAGGAGGCATTCCTGTCCCACTCAGCCGGGAGCCGGCGGGCGCTGGCACGCACGGCCCGACTCTGCAGGGCAGGCTCGTCTCTGGCGGCGGCCTGGCTCCCAGGAGTGGGAACATTCCTGATAACACAGAGCATTTTCTCCTGGGACGTCTCACCTCTTTGATCAGAGAGCCCAGGTAGAGCGCGGTGAGGGGGGTCTGCTCCGCCGGCTTCAAGACCACAGTGTTCCCACAGCAGAGAGCGGGAGCCAGCTTCCACACCAGCATCAGCAGAGGGAAGTTCCACTGCAGCAGAACACAGAGGGGTTGGGGGCCCCAGGGCTGCCCACAACGCCATCCCCAAGGCCCAGGGATACCTGCGTGGAGCACTTGTTTTGCATGGTTTAGATGCGGGGTATGCAACCATCCGGGGCTTCCTTGCTGGCTCAGGGGTAAAGTACGAGAGCCCCGGGTTTGATCCCTGGGTCGGGAAGAGTCCCCCAGAGGAGGGAATGGCTACCCACTCCAGTGTTCTTGCCTAGAGAATGCATGGGCAGAGGAGCTGGCGGGGTCCTCATACAGTCCATGCGGTCGCACAGATCAGACATGAATGAAGCAACTAAGCAGGAGCAACAGCAACATGCAATGATCAGAAATGCATTCCTGCCCAGCGTCTCCTGAACTGCATCCTAGGAGATGCTAATAGGTGGTCACTGCAAAGAGGCTTCTGCTCTAGGTGTGCTACCATCTCCTCCTGCACGTTAACAATGCCATCAGCAAGTTGGCATCTGGGAAAAGCCCCAAAGGAACAAGGCCTGCCTCTCCTCAACTCAGATGCCACCCTATCTCTCTTCCTACAGAGCACATACCAACCCCCGCCCGATGGGTATTTGGTGACATTTATCTTGGAAAACACTTTCTTGTCCTCCTTTCACCACAGAGGCAGGGACACCAAAGTCTCTCTGGTATCGGGCCCGACAAGCACCCTCGCCCACTGGGCGTCCACTGTGAGCCTGGTGCAGTTCCAATTGCTGAACTCATCTGATCCCGACACACCTGTGCGGGGGCAGTCACACTGCCACTCCCCTCAACAGAAGAGGGGACGTGTCGCAGAGGGTGAGCTCACTGGACCAAGGTCACAACTGTCAGACGAAGGCCAGATTCACAGCCAGGCTCGTTTCCTGACCGCACTGTTGCCTAAGCGTCACCTTTGGTGAGACGAGGTGAAACCGAGCATCTCCAAGAGCGCGGTGAGATTGATTCTAGCCAGCCCTCATCCCTGTGCCCAACCCCCCCATTTGGCCCCTTAGGCACCAAGGATGCCTCTCCCCTGGCAGGGCTGATGAACGGCCAGCTAGATTTCTCCCCCAGCTCTGTCTGAAATCCCTACCACCATACACCAAACAGAACACCCCAGGTCCCAGGGGCCCGTGAGGTTGGCTGATGACAGCAGGCACAGCCCCGCTGGTCCCCAGGGTCTGCTCGTCTTCAAGACCCCCACTCCTGAGCACACAGATGCCATCAGCTCTCCCCTCGCTGGACAAGCAAACCTGCACCTTCTTCTGGCCTCTGCCTCTCCTCCCAGCTCCCTTCTCTCTCACTGCAGCTCTGGAACGCCCAAGCCCACATGCCCAGCTCCCTTTCCATTGGCCCAAGCTACATTGAAGATGCCCCCAGCACCTCTCTTGGGGAGCACATCTAACAGTATATGTTTCTGTCGTTTTGAATTTCCAGGTAGGAGATGACCCCATTGACTGCAGTCTCTTTCTGAAAATGTGTCCCTGGGGGGCCCCTGACCCTGGCTGTTCAGGCAGCCTGGGATTCCTTAGTGGTCCATAGGACTCCCCTGGGCCCTCTTCTCTTCTCACTTGACATCCATCTTTAGGGGACCCCCTCACAACTTGATGGGCAAGAGCACCTTTGGTTGGACCAATGACTGGCTCTCAAAACTGACTGCTGAAGCATCATCCCTTCCTTGCCCCCAGAGAGTACTTCTCCAAGCCTCTCCATGCTACTGACTGCCTCCAAAGCTGCTGCAGCGGCCTGGGCCTTCCTCTCACAGACAGCAGCATCACGGCAAGCCTGCACCTGCCAAGCTCTCCCCTATCCCGAGAGTGAAGTCCTGGGCCCTGGGCAGCATGGCGTGCTGGACGCTGGGCTGCACCACTGGCTGGGTGCGCCTCCTTATCCTCGCTTTGTCCCTGCCTAAGCTCCCACCTCGCCAGCTATCCCGCTGCTGCCTCCAAGTAGCCAGACACTTCTCCACCCTCCTGCAGGCCATTCCTATGCTCAGAAACCCCTTTGTCCCGGGGAACAACTCTTTCCTATCCTTCAAGGCCCAGTTGAGAGCCTACTGCCCAAAGGGAGCTGACCATTACTGACCCCTCTGGTTGGAGTCCATGTGTCTTCTGCTGCATTCCTGGAATTGGCCCCTTGAGAGCAGGAATGGGGTTGGATCCATCTCAGCCCCCAAGCATCAAGGTCCATGCCACACTGCAATGCTCTGCTAGTGCCGTGCAGTCAGAGCAAAACCCATTAGAGACCGGTTCCAAAGACCGCAGTGCAGGGGAGTGGGATCTACAGATCTAGCGAGAAAAGCTGGCATACTCACAGGAGTGATGGCCCCGCACACACCAACGGGCTCGTGCCTGGTGAAACACACGACGTTGTCATCTGGAAGAGAGATTAAACAGAGAAGACATGCTCTTGTGAATCTAGCTTAGGAATCCTAAGTAGTTAAAAAGACAAGAAAGAAACCCAGAAGCCCACCAAATCGTCAACTCTAAGTTCTCTCTGTTTCATAAAGAAGTGATTTTTCACTCAATTTCAAAAGTAAAATTCTTTAGAGGAAGAATTGGCACAGTGCTGTTTCTTTTGCCAGGGGGAGTGGGGAGGATGCTCTGGAGAGAAACCAGAGGGAGCTCTGGAGAGGCTGCTTGAAGGAGAAAGAACACATGGCTCCCAAGAATCCCCGGACGTGGCCAGGAGTCCTGGGCTGGCTCACCTGTGGGGATGGTCCTGCCCTGTATTTTGTCTGCCCACCCAGCAAAGTATCGAAGGGTTTTGATACAGCCTTCCAGGTCGATGAAAAAGGCATGAAGGAATGGCTTCCCTGTGTCCATCGTTTCCAGGGTCTGCAATCATAAGAGGACATGTTTTTAAGACACGGTTTTCCGTTTCACCATCCGATTGGTAAAGACAGGGCAGGGAGGGAGAGCAGGGTCCTGGAGTGCAGCCTTCAGGACCTCCCAGCCACGCAAGTCTGGGAAAGCAAGACAGCACGTTCAAGATGAGACATGTCCCAGGCTGTCGAGGACTGCTTTCCTTTTAAAACACCTCAACCTGGGGGATCGGCCAGAGCATGGCCACAGGTCGCACGAAGGACGGCACGCGGCTGGTCTGGCGCCTCTCTGGGAGGGAACAAACGTGCTCTAGCACAGCCTTCTGTCGTCCTTCGGGAGCGCCGTTGGCCACTTGAGTCCGCGCGCTCCAGGAAGCTCGCAGAAGGTGTGCCGGCTTCAGGTTGGCTGGGAAGGGGGCTAGGTCCTCTAACAAAGGAAAAGGGGCCCCGGGTTCTCTCTTCTCGGCCTCGTGGAGCAGCACAGCTGTGCAAAGGGTCGACAAGCAGCATAGAGTCGCGCCTCTGTGCTGCAGGCTGGGAGGTGAGCAGGCTCGCCCTGGGTGGTGAGGGGTGACTGCTCTACAGGCGTGCACGCAGTCACTCAATGGAACGGATCCTTTTCTGTTTCCAGCCAGGCTGAAGAGAACCCCTGTGTCCCTCAGACAAGCGGCCCCAGTTGAGCCCAGGGCTGCAGCCGCGCCTCATCGTCCGTGGCTGCAGGAAGCGGCCACCCTGACACAGAGCCCAGGGCAGGATTCTGGTCGGCGGGTCACTGGGGCGAGATGCCGGTTTACAAAGAGAGAGAGGGGCGCCTCCGTGCGCAGGCGCAGACGCCTCGTCTCAGAAACAGACGGCTCTGCTCCTGCTTCAAGGTGCAGACGCCAAGGCTAAGAGAGGCCAGGACCCGTTTGTGTTATCAGGAGGGTAGGTGGGTGGCCGGCACTGAATCTGGAGCTTCTGACTTCCATCAGGGCAGTGATGCTCTTCAGGCTACTGCCCTGGACTTGTGCACCTGGAAAGCATGTAGGATGGCCAAGTGAGTGGCTGGGGCCACTTTATCTTCCCTTCAGGAATGAACCAAACATTCTCTGAACAGGAAGCAACCCTTTCTTAGATGAGCGGCCGTGGCAAATCCCTAAATTTCATCCTGCCTCAGTTCCCTCATCTGTAAAACAACACTACTAATGATATCTACCTTACAGGAGTACTGTGTGGGTTAGAGGAGTCCCATACATAAAGCACTAACAGCAGCATCTACCCGTGGTACCAGTCACATCCACCGTTCAAATGATGATATTAAGAGCTGTGACGATTGTCATCATTTTCCCTTTTGGGGCCAGACAGGTGGCTGGCAATCCTCATCTGGGGACATTGAGGAGACAGGAGTGTGTGTTGCTAGAGATGACAGGGCTGGTCTGGGTCTGGGGTGTGTCTCAGCCCTGGTGGAAGCTGCTCAGGGACCCAGTCAGGACAATGTGACAGCCAGTACACTGTGCCTTTGGCTCCTATTGATTTATATTCCAAGTTGGAACTTTTATTTTCCCAGGGGGAACTGTCAACAATTGTAGATAATGCCAAATTCTCCAGGGCCCAGCTGCTCCACACAGCATCTGGTCATCTATCAGCAGAACCTGGAGCTTACTCTTGGCCCTTTTCTGGGATGGGAAAAAAGGCAAGGGCTGGGCAGAGCTTTGAGGGGACACACGGGGCCTGAGCCACTGCCCAGCTCCAGTGCTGGCTCACCCTCTGGCTGGGTAAACTAGGACAGATGACCTAACCTCTCTGGGCCGCAGGATTCTTATCTTTGAAACAGGATGATAAATATTACAGATCAAGTGCCTGCAACAAGCCTGGGACAGAGTGAGTATTCAACAAGCACTGACTATTCTTATTACTAACTTAGTCATGTTTGCTTACTCTCATGATAACAGGAATTTGCCAGGTTGGTGTCATGGCATCTTTCCAAGCAAAACTGGGTCATGATAGCTTTAGAAAGGAAGCTCTTTAAAAGAAAAAATCAAAAATCAAAAACGATTTCCAGGTGATTACACAGACATGAAGCTGAGAGATCAAGAGTTAGCTAGTTGCTGGGACTTTTCAACAATTATCGTGGCTGGACCATGAGAGAACCACAGCTTCTTCTAAATTTCTTTTGAACATTTTAGGAGAAACATATACCTTTTGAGAAATCAACACATGAGAACCCTTAAATACTAAAGAATGAAGGGAAAGTGCAGTGGGACGTGCCCACGATGCCCTAGTGCTGAGGCTTTAAATGAAGGGCTCTGAAGTGGGGCTCTGCTTGAGACGAGAGCAAACAGTGACAGCTCCTCTTTGGAGGCTCCCGAGATGAGCATCCAAACACCAGAGCCTGGGTCCAGGTGCCGCGGTGAGGGAGAAAGCACGGGGCCACTGGATCTGCCCACGGTCTCCAAACACTGAACACGAAGTATTCAGGCCCAGCTCCGTCAGCCACCAAGCTGGCAAGGGAACATGACGGAAGAGGCATTTTTGCAGGAGAAAGCAAGAAAACCCTCTCAAGGGCATGCTTTCCCTTGATGCGGTCTGGGTTCTAAAAACTGTATTTGCCAGTCACCCTCTTGCCCTTTCCACGATGAGGTGAAGAGCTGGACCTTACTTCTCGTGGGCAGTGAGTCTCGATGGCAGAGGCACCCTGCTCCACGTGTGCTCACAGCAGCCTTCCAGGACAGCCAAGAGGGCTGAAGGTGAAGGGGGGGGGCCTTGCAGCCACCGTGCCCCAAGATGATACTGACGCTTAAGGACAGGGAGGGGAGGGTACCAGGCACATCCTCTCCCGCCTGCTCTGAGTCCTCACGGACATTGCAGACAGATGAGCTCATGCTGGGGGAAAACAGAAATGTTTTTGAAGAAGCCAGTTTGGCAGCTTGAGAGTTGAGACTGGCTTTTGCTGCAGGAAGAACCAGAGGCTCTGTGGAGAGAGACACTGACCCTGGCGGGATCTCTCTCTGCCCACACCCTCCCCCCCCCCCCCCCACTGCAGGCTGGCCAGCTGGGGCAGAGGAAAGAAGTTGCAGGTCTCTCCATGTGTGTGGACGCATGGCAACACACCCCAGAGCAGCACCCGAAATGGAGTTTCTCCAGCCTCCACCCATGACACACATGCAGGGCCAAGAGAATCTCAGCATCCTTGCTGGCGCTGACCTTCACGCGGGTATCCACCTGACCACTCATTCCCAACATCAAATCAAGACAGGAAAGAACCGTCTTTCCAAATCAGAGGCCAAAAAGGAGGTTTCCTTTCCTACTAACTGGGCCTCCAGTTCTGGGACAAGTGTTACACGGGAGTCTAAGCTATGAGAGTTGTGCATGCGGGTGGCAAAGGAGAGGGCGCCAGGGCCCCAGGATCTCCTTCAATCAATCACCCACCACAAGAACAAAGGAAGGGCTGAAGATCCCAGTAAATTCTGTACTGCTGCTACTGCTGCTAAATCACTTCAGTCGTGTCTGACTCTGTGCGACCCTATGGACAGCAGCCCACCAGGCTCCTCTGTCCACGGGATTCTCTAGGCAAGAATACTGGAGTGGGTTGCCATTTCCTTCTCTAAAATTCTGCACTTGCAACTCCTAAATGTCTTCACAGCCCATCTCATGAGAGCAGCCCCAGGGACTGCAAAGGATTTTAAGTGGATCATTCTCACAACACTCAGATATCATTAATAGTGACATTCTCTGTGAAGAGACATACGCTCAGGGAGGCTGAGCAACTTATCCAAAGTCACACAGCTGATAAGCAGCAGAGCTGGAGTTCGAACCTAGGTATTTTACACTCTGAAGTTTCCTGTAGCTAAGTTATCCCACCCTCACCATCCCTCCACACACACTCACCACTACCCACTTCAAGGGTGAGGCGGGTGAGTTTTAAGCTACATATGGACACTTTTTCTGTGTTAAGGGGTGGCATTTATTTTAATAAGTATTAGAAAAACCACACCAGCACATTACACCTGTAATTTCATGGACATTGTCCCTTAGGATGAGGTTAAATTTCAGTTTGGAAAGGAGTTGATATAAGAAAACTAGTTAAGCTCCTAAGTACGCAAGTAGTACCAAGGTACGGCCCAGCCAGGCTGTCTGTGAGCATCTCGAGCCTGGGAGCCACTAGTGGAGCCGAACTTCCTCAAGCAGAGAAGACAGCGGCAGGGACAAAAGTCCGACTTCAGAAAGGACCGTCTGAGTCCGGGGTGCAGACGCCATCTCGGGGCTGAAGAGCCGCGCCTCAAAAGACAGCGCAGCCCACCCCCTCCCTCCCTACCCGCACCCAGGTCCTGTATCCTGCGCAGGGAAGGGGCGCCCCGGGGGCCAGCGGCCACGCCCCCTCCCCCGCGGAGCGTCCCGGGTGCTCACCGCCTGAACGGCGCGGTCCCTCCCCACCCGGAAGGGGCGACCCGGGGTGCCAGCGGCCACGCCCCCTCCCCGCGCTGGTCGCGGGTACTCACCGCCAGGATGGCGCGGTCCCTCTCCACTAGGTCCGCCAGCTGCTGCAGCAGCCGGCCGCGGCTCGGGGCGTCCAGCCGGCGCCACGGGGAGCCCCTCTGGAAGGCGGCTTGTGCGGCCTCCACCGCCTTGTCCACGTCAGGCTGCAAGGCCAAACAACCGAGAGAGCCTGTCACCTTTCGCGGAGGGCTCGGCTGTCCAGGAACTGCAGAGTCCGGCCTCCATCCCGGCACAGGGGACGGAGGTGGGCGGGCAGCTCAGAGCAGTCGCCAGGTTTCCAATCACTTCAATGGTCAGGGACTTCTAAGGGATTTTGTTTTTTCTTTAAGTCTTTCAAGTTTTCTACAAGGGCCAAGGATTAACTTTCCTTCTGATTGTACAAAGTATCTGAAATAGTCATAAGACCACTGACTGTAATTATTTTCTTTGCTGACCTACGTAGGAAAAGAGCATCTACTTGCTACCTAAGTTTGGACACAAACACACTCCTGCAGCTCACCAATGAGGTGGGAAATGTCTGTCTTGGCACTTTACTCCAGCTGAGAACCACATGCGGTCCAAGAACGGGGACCTCCTCTGAATCCTCCTCTGGATCTCAGAACTGACCATATTGAAAAAGTCCGTATCAGGGACTTCTCCCTTTAGCCTCACTTCTGTCCCCTGGGGCTTCCCTGGTGGCTCTGCCCAAAATGCAGGAGATGTGATTTCAATCCCTGGGTTGGAAAGATCCCCTGGAAAAAGGCAATAGTAACCCACTCTAGTATTCTTGCCTGGAAATCCCATGGACTGAGGAGCATGGGTCACAAAAGACCTGGACGTGATTCAGCAGCTAAACAACACTACCAGCTATCCCCTGGGAGCTGTGATCATTTTATAGACAACTGGATCTTCTGGGCACTGATAGAAGAATTACAATCAAATCTTCTCTACTAGGAAAGAATGAGAGCTATTTAGAGTAATGTCACCCATTCTTTCAAAATTTTTATTTTTTTTAATATTGCTTGGCCACATCATGTGGCCTGCAAATCTTAGTTCCCCACTGGGAATTGGACCTGCATTCCCTGCAGTGGAAGCTCAGAGTCCTAACCACTGGACTGCCCCGGAATTCCCTGACATCCATTCTTATGCTCAAGAAAATGAGGTTTGAGGCTTTGGTGATAATGATCAGGGACTCACCCCCCAGATCCCTCTGAGCCTCTCTTCCTTAGGGAGATGCAGCCAGCAGTGGACACCCAGCACCAGTCAAGAGGGACACTCCACCCAGATTCTGTTTATCCAAAATGGGCTTGGAGGGGAGTAGAAGGTTTGGCAAGGGAGATATTAGGACTTTGAATTCCTTGTCCCAGGCTCTGGGGTGGAGGCCAGGAATCCTCCAGCTGCAGGGATAGGGAAGCCTCTGACTTCTGGTGCTTGGAATAGTCACTCAGACCATGGGATGAGCCAGAGTCCACGGCGGGGATCTCACTGCTCCCTGTCTGATGTGTACTACACCTGGGAGACCTGCTCAGCACCGTGTCCCACCTCTGCACCCTGACGTCTTCACACAAGCTCCTCGGTGCCAGTATTATAGACACAGAACTTTTCATGGGGTGCTGCACACAGAAGGGTCTGAACAAGTGGAAACATGGTGCATGGCACACCGTCACAAAAATCCTGCTGCTAGAATCAAATTCAAGCCTATTTGATACATGTCATTCACACTACCTACATATTTATGAACATCAGGTAAGTTCTCCCGTGGTTGAGAAGAGGGTTCTGTTTCTCTTCCCTCCTTACAAAAGCTGTACTTTCAACCTTTTCCACAGTGACACATATTCAAAAGATATTTTATGGTTTGAAATGTATCAAGGACATATCTAGGAGTCTCTTAGCTTTATATATAATAATATGATTAATATTATATATATATATAAAATATAGCTTATCACTATAGGGTGATAAGCTGCACTGCACTATCAAATAGAGTTATAGGCTATAGCTTTATACAATCATTTAAGTTTCTGGTAGAAAAAAAAATCTGGCAATTGCATAACATTATTACTTCTGCATGACTTAGCAAGTCTTTTCTCCTTCAAGTGTTTTTTTTTTCAAAGTGTCTCCTGCCAGAATGTTGCATTTGGTGAAACACACCAGCCAGCCGGAAATGCTTTTAGGAAAGATTCTTTAATGCTGCCAGGTTCAAATCATTGATAAAAACCTTTCCTTTAGCCACGTGATAAGGATGGCTGAAGTCATCTTCACAGATGGAAAAACATCTATCAAAGGAGAAGGACTCTATAGCACAGGGTCCCTAATTGATCCCATTCTGGGCCATGTGTCTACGAAGCAGCTTGCTTAGGTTCAACCTTAGTGTGGGCCAGCTCTGTCTTACAGCTAAGCTGAAGCACTTCCTTATCCTCTAGTGATCTGTAATTGAATTACTGGGCCAGGGGGAGGGCACCCACCTTATCTCCTTCTTCTACTTCACATATTTTCTCTAGAGTTGAAGGGTTATACGTGGCAAACTTTTTTCCACTCTTGGATTCGTTCCATTCATTGTTGATGAATATCTAACCAGGAAAGGAAATTGTAATGCATTAGGCTTAAATCAAAATCATATAATTCCAACATGCTGAGGACCTTAGGTCATGTCTTTTCTTTCCCTCTCGCCAACATGCCCATCTGCCGTTTTACAGGTGAGACCTGGAAGGGGGGTGATAGTCACACACCCAATTGGGAGCACACTCAGAATTATCAACAGAATCCAAGTCTCCTGACTTTTAATACATTTCCAGAGAGCTACAAATTGTCAAAATAAAACTGAAGTAATTTAGAATTTTTTCTAAAATGTTTTTAGACAATAAGATGGAGTCGCAGAAGAATAAAAGAGTTATAAAAAGGGCATGAGTTAAATTTTACACACTCATCAAGTTCAGGGGATGAACACACACACACACACACACACACACACAGTGCCAAGCAATCTGCCTGCCCCTGAAGAGTATGTCAGCAGTGAGCGTTCCCTTCTCCCTCCTTCCTGCAGCAACCCCCAGCTGGATCTGCCAAGGAACTGGATTTATAAAAGGATTTCACTATAACCCTTTAGCCCTCATTAATGCATATCCGTGCCATCTCCCATTCTCTTTAAAATGTCTATTTTCATGTTGGGCTTTAATAAAAGCCAGTGTTGGAATAGCAAGATAAATATCTGGGTTAGGAAATGTTCGGGTTATATTAACATATGTTGCAAATAACTACTTACATCCAGAACTAAAGAATCAACTCACAAAAATCACTTAGTTCTGAGACCCAGTTATCTAGAACACAGCCAAAAATAGAGACATTAAAAAAAAAAGACATTATGAACAAACTAAAAAGAATTTCATGGTCTATGCACTGAAATATGTGTACTATTTACTCTTAACTTACCCTAAGTTCTTAAAAAATATTAAAAGAGAGGATTTGGGGGAAAGAACTAGGAACTGAGGTGACAGATACCATACAAGTCATTTTCTGACAGAATGGAGGTCCTGGCTATCCAGTGAGAGGCCAGTCTCTGGTTGTGCCCTTTAGGGACCACCTCGTAATCAGAGCCCATCATGGCATCAGAGAGACCCCAGTCATGAGCATAGCTAAAATGCTTTAGAAGCATTTCCATCGAGTAAAATGTCATCAACAATTTCTAAATACAGAACAAGCTCATCAGATTCCATCTCCATTTCTACGTGCATGCTAAGTTGCTCAGTCATGTCCGACTCTTTGTGACGTCATGGACTGTAGCCCTCCAGGCTCCTCTCTCCATGGGATTCTCCAGGCGAGAATACTAGAGTGGGTTGCCATGCCCTCCTCCAGCGGATCTTCCCTGACTCAGGGATTGAACCCAAGACTCATGTCTCATACATTGGCAGGTGGATTCTTTACCGCTGAGCCACCAGGGAAGCCTCCATATCTGTATTCATATGTTTATACACATACATTTATATGCATGTCTCTATATCCATTTATTCTATGTATCTATATGCTCATCTTTGATTCACTTCAAGGGAGAACTGCATCACTACAGGGCTAATTTCCATGATGGTGACTACAGGGTTAATTTCCACGACTGTGCATTTCATTCATTTGGAATACCCGGTTCCCCAGTAAAGACGGGTGAGAGGGTGGCCGATTTATCTAGCATGTGACCTGACTATGTTCTCTGTCCTTAGTTGTCCTGTAAAAACTCCAAAGCTCACGGGAAAGGAAGACTTCTCTGGGAAGCCACTAGGGCGCTGTTTTGATACTTCTCCCTGGAAAGCAGGGGAATTTGAGAGTGGTGGGGACAAAACACAGAGGGCCAACCCTGGCTGGGCAGGTGAGCAGAGTGTCCCTGCCTCCCCATGTGCGATCCAGGCTGACAGTGGCCTTCAACTGTGGGACGTGCCCATCCTGCTTCTGGAAGCTCAGTGCCTTCAACCTGAGGCCAGGCCCCCAGGGAAGCATGTGGGAAAGGCCAGGCTACAATTACAGGCTTATTCTTCCAGCTGAAACCAAATCCGAGAGTTCACTTTTGCCATCCAGCAGGCAATCACTCGGTAACAGTGAGAAATTAATAAGTAGAGCAGAGGGACGTTAAGTTAGTGCGGGGAGGACAGTGCAGCCAGGAAGACAGGCCCATTTGTCGGAAGATGAAATTTCGTGGGTTAGATAATAGAGACTGTCAGTGGAATCTGCTGATTCTAGGACCTTCCTGATATCAATTCCAAGGGGGAAGGAAGATGAGAAGGTAGTAGAGGAGAATATAAATAAGGGGATAAAAACACATTGCAATGATCAGATGTCTGTTATACTTCAGCTTCAAGCATGGTCCTCCAAAAAAATAATCACTCAGTTGTTTGTGACATTGATCCATAGTCCTTTCTAACCAGCAACTTAAAAAAAAAAAAAAATTCAGGCTGCTTAACTTTACTCATATTTTCCCATCACAATGTTTCTAATTTAGCAAAATTTTTTGCTTTATACTACATTACTAAGCAATCGTGTAAGTGGTTTCTACTGTTGATTTTACTCTGCACTAAAAGAAAACAAAAACACAAATGAGGGAGGGATCAGTGAGTGTGGCCTACCAATTATGCTGGCTTTCTTGTTTTGAACCCCAAATCAGGAAAATGGGTCTAAAAAACATGTTTTCCTTGACTTGTGAACTGGTAAGAAACAAAACTTCTAGAGGAATAAAACTACGTTACACTGAGTAGATGGGATTCACATTTTACTGGAGGAATGGAATGGCATCCTATCCAGACTGAGTTGGAAAACCACAGCCGTGGTTGCAGTCAGGTGCCCCAGAGAGGTGAGGGTAGTGGTTACATAAGAGAATTCTGCAGTCGCCGCTTACAGAACTTCCACTGGACCCCAGCTCTACTCAAAAGCATTGTTTTCAGAAAAGGAGATTTGAGGGAATTTTACTATTCATAAAAAACAAACATTAAAAACCAGCATTTTATTGAGCCAGCAAATCTTTAAAAAAAAATTTTCTGCTACTGTAAGAATTGTTAAGGAAAGTCAGGGGCCCTCTGAAGTGGAAAGGGGCTGCTACCCTCTGAGACCTATGTTGGGCTTCTAGGGGACCCTCCCCTCCCCAAAATCACTGAACAGAGCCCAGTGTTAAAACATGCAAACAAACAAAGGCGCTTCATCCTTACAGAGACTGGACTTACCCTGGGACGTGGCCCCCAAGGCTGGGGCCCAGTCCCACCATTTCCTGCATGTCCTCCATTAGCAAGAAGCACCAGGAGTCGGGTTTGAAAAACGACAGACCGTTACCGCTCACACGCTCCACAGCCAGGAGGGCCTCGACCCTGTAGCTCTGATTCTCCATTTCTTTCCTCGCACTGGGGGCTGCCTCTGCAGCCAGAGGCTCTGCAAGCATTGCTTGCCTGGGCTCCCACCCTCAGTCACAGCCACCCTGCTGCCCCAACCCCACAAGTGCTAGGAGGAGGCCTCTGTGAGGTGGGCCTGGAGCGGGGACAGTGAGGCTCCAGCAGGAAAGAGGGTTCAGGGGCCTGCTGTTGGGCTTCCCCAGTCTTCATCACCGGAAGCCGCTAAGGATCTGGCTTTCCAACCCCCTCCATCTCATGCCATCCCCTGAGCCTTAGTCACAACCCAGTTCTATTCCACTAAGAAGATGGACACCCAGCCGGACAACAAAGACTGATTGGTCACTCTGTGAATGTGCTAAGATCCACCTCTCTAAGTAAGGGCTGAATCTACGCTTGCAAAAGGTTAGAAAGAATTGCAGACAAAGAGGCAACGTTCCATATGTGGCAACATTGCTCTGATAGCACTATAAAAGGTAAAAAGGAACAGGGAAACAATATATATAGTTTTTGGTTTCTATAAAAGAAAAACAAAATGCCACCACCACCTACTACAGGTGACAACCAACAGTGATAGGGGCTAAAAACATTAAGGCACTATTTTCACTGTTCCCAGAATTTGCACTCTGAAGCTGCTCCTGCTTATGAAACTGCATTAAAAATGGTCTCCATCGGATTGTCTCCGTTGATTACAGAGCCCTCTGGAAACAGTTAATTTTAATGTCATGTGATCAGAGGTCCAGCCGACCATACGTGCCAAAAGATCAAAATCTGAAGGCCACACATAGTGGCCTGCAACTTTCTCTGCTTGATTAAAACTATTTGAGACACATAATTGCTACTTTTGAAAGCAAATTGAGGGAGGAATTTTCTAAGTGCTGTGTCAGCTGAAGTCGGGGTGGCGGGTGGTAGCAATGGATAAGACGCAAAAATAACAGGAGATAAACTTGAGCAAAGTGAAGCCCACCGTGATTTTTGGCCTGCGTCCCTGAAATGCCCCCAGACCCAGTCCAGTAGCTTCCAAACAGCCTCGAGGCGTCCCTGTACTGTAGAGGACGCGCTCCGCGCTGGGCGCGGGGCCGCCAACTGTGCCCAGCTCAGGCCTCGCCATCTTCCTCTCTGCCCCAAGCAGGTAATCCCACCGCTTTTAGGTGCTCCAGCCTGCCCGTCCCGCGGCGCAGAAAGGACCGCGAGCTGAGGGACTGTGCGACACGATGGAGCCCTGCAACCCGCGGCCTCCCAGGCCCAGATCCGAGACCCTGATCTGCCAAGACCAGGGTCTCGGGGCTCCAGACACCTTCCCGCTAGCCCTGGCTCCGCTGGTAAGCTGGGAAGAGCTGAGCTAAGCACAGGAGGTGCCCTTCTCTCCGCTTGCTCCCACTGACGTTTCCGGACGCTTCCCAGGGCAGCCAGACCTCGCAGAGCGGCTCTCAGCGTTTTCAGGCACCCTCTGACCACCCGGAAACCCGACCCCTTCAGCCCCGGAGACCTCGCCTCAGGGTCTGCGGGGAGACAACCGCGCCGGTCCCGGCGGCCCACCGCTCGCCTTCAAAACGGGCCTGCAAGGGCACGTCGGGGCCGCAGCGGCCGCAGCCTGGCACCGCACAGCCGCTGCAAAGCCTCACTAGCCCGGGTTCTGCGCCGGAAAGTCCGTCTGGGGGTGCTGATCTCGGGGTCCCTTTCGGGGTGCGCGGCCGACGCGGGTGGGACGCGGGCTTCCGCCTGGGATGTCCAGCGCTGAACGCGGCTTCGGGAGGGCCGGGCCCGGCGCAGAGGCTTGGGTCCTAGAAGCGCCGGGCGGACTCCGCCGCCCCAGGCCCCCGCACGCTCCGAGCGCAGCGGCGGGGCTCCCGGCCTGCGGGCCCCTCGTCCACGCCCCCGGCCCGGCCGGGCAGCCCAGCGCAGAGCCAGGCTGCCGTCGGGTGGGACGCGGGCCCGTCTCACCTTGGTGAACTGGACCTCCAGGTTGCGGACGGGGCGCGGCAGGGCAGGCGCCTTCCTGTCCGGCTGCCCGTTCTCCACAGCCCCGTTGGTGGTGGCCATGGCTCCTCGGCGCTCCCCGGCCCGCGGCGCCCGAGTCCTCGGCGCCTGCTCCGGCCTGGGCGGTGCGCAGCCTGCTCGCAGGGTGACAGCTCCGCGCCGCTTTATGGAGCGCCCCACGCCTCCCGCCCGAGGGGGTTGTCTAATTGGCTGCAGGACGGGAGGAAGGGCGGGCGGGCGGGCGGGCGGGGAGGGGGCCGGCCCGCCTCACCCCACCCCGCCCGCCGCCCCTGCGGGAGCCCGGCCACCCCCGGCCCGGCCACCGCGCCGCGCGCTCCCCGCCCCGGAGGCCGCCCTTGGAGGAGCACCCCGGAGCTCCGCCGGGCCCCGGAAGTCCCGGGACTGGGAGCGGGGGCGCGGGCCGCGGCCCCGGCGGCCTCGCCGAGGTCGAGCGAGTCCGTCCGTGGCACCTGCCGCCCCCGGCCGGCCGCCGCTCGGCGCTCCGCTCGCGCCTCGGGAGGGCGCGCCCTCCGGCCGGCCCGCTGAGGGCCTCACCCCGCGCCCCGCGTCGGGGACCCAGCGCGGCGGCCCCGCGTCGCCGCCCACGTGCCTCGGCCTGGAGTCCGGCCGCCGCCGGGGCCTGGCTTGCGGGACCGACGCCCGCCGTGCCGCACTTGGAACCCCATTTTGTTTTACCTCATTTAAGTCTGGTTCCTAAACCTCACTAAAGGGCCCTCAGCACCCCCAGCGCTGGGAACTCCCGGGCCCTGGGCGTCGCACACCGAGGGGCAGACGGTGAGGGAAAAGCCGTTGGCCCTTCCTGCCCCACGCTGTGGCGTCCCAAGCCGCCCGGCCTCTGACCTTTACAGCCGCGCAGCGGGCCTCCAGCCTGAGGCCCTGGGATGCAACCGTTTTGATTTTTTTAAATGCATACATTATATTTCAACTTTAAAAAATGAAAAAAAGAGAGAGAGAAAGCACATGAGATATTTGCAGCTTTTTTTGAGTGGAAGCGCTTGTCCCATAGGTTGCTCAACTTGCCAGCTCTCTTCAGAGGACCCACTGGTGCCAGAGGAGGCTTGCTCCAGGTCCCATCTGAGACGTGGAAGCGGCTTCTCCTGCCATGTCTTCCCTCAAGTTTCTGGAAGGATGATGTGGGGCACGATCTGGGGGACAAAAGCAGTGGTTTCACCCCCAGAAGCCTCAGCCCCTCAGTCCATTTCCTTCTGTGAGTAATCTCCAGTGACACACAATGGGGACACTCCTTACTGTCCTGAGGCTGCTTCTGTTTGTTTTGGGGCTCCCAGTGGCATCTGTGTCCCCTCTCTCCTTTATCACTGCAATGCTGCTGAGTGTTCGGGATAGGGGAGTAAGCTTCTAAACTTTCCCAAAATTGTCATCAGACCACCTGCCTTCTGGGGATGAAAGTTTCCTGTACTCTTGTAGCTTAGAATGAACACATGAGGCAGGGAAAGGGGATGATGGGTTCCCTGAGCAGACTCACTGATGTACTGAGTCTGTCCTCAATGCTGGTCTTCCTGAAACTGATGAGTCCCAGAGCAATTCTGTCTCTTTTCTTAGCTGCTCCTGCCAGTCCCTTGGCTCCCTGTCCTCGTGGCACCCACTCAGTCCTCCTGGAAACCTGTGGGCAGTGTCTCATGCCGGGGTCTCTACCTGGATGCTGAGCCCAGCATTTGGGTGCCGGGGCCCAGGAGGGCCTGCAGACCTGCCTGATGGGCAGCATCTGGCCTTGGGGACCAACCACCTCCCCTGGGGCTCATCCTGTTGACATCCACCCACGTGATCCTGGGAGCTTAGGATGGGTGTGGGGTATTCAGCCACAGCAGGCGGCTCCCAGGTCAGGAGGATGGGCCTGGCTTGAGACTTGTTGAGACCAGCAGGCTCCCTCTGCTCTCCTGTCTTGCCACTCAGTGGAAAGGATGAAAGCAAATGCTCTTCTCCCCATTTTACAGGTGAGTAAACAGGAGCATGCAGATACTTGCCTGAGACGGCATCTGCAGTGGAGGAACCAGGGCCAGATGTGTGTGGGTGGGTGGCCGGGAGGGATTTCTCTCACCTTCCTTCCGCACCCTTCTTTCATCAAGGGCGGCACCTGTCCCTAGGGCCCCCTGTCACTGGGGCAGCAGAGAACACATTGAGGTACAGTTGCAAATACTATCAGCACCCCTGCAGGCGTGCCTTGCATAGGAATCAAGCCCTTAGCCCACCTCAGAAGAGGTGACCACAGGTGCCAGGAAAGGAAGAAGGACCATTTCCTCCCACAGTCAGCCTCTGGATGTCTGGGCAGCAGGGGGATTGCCTGAACGTCTAAGGCCTCAGACCACAACCCTGACTTCGATTCCAGCTGTGCGCCCCTGGCTGGTACACTTCACTCTGAGCTTTGGTTTCTTTTTCTGTAAAATAACCTTCTTACTGTACAGTGTTTAGGGAAGCTTGAGCAAGAAAATGGTGCTTTATAATACGTAAAGTGCTGTGTGCATGCCGGCTCCTCATTTTCCTATTTTTCCTGGAGATTGATTCCTCTCAGTAGGCTTTGTTAGCAAGTCCCCCTGGCTTCTCTCTGGCTTCCACCAAGGTCTCTGGTCAACAGTCACTCTGCTGTGATTTCGTTGTAAAAATAAAATAGTATTTGTATTTTGTATTCAGTTCTGAGGTGCTGCTTGCTGTCCGCTGCTTGGCTTTTTGGAATCTCAAATTATCTAAGTCCAGGACATCTCATACTGAGGGCCTGCTTGCTTGATGAATATTTCATAAAAATTAGCATGAATAAGGAGAAAAGACTGAGATAAAATTTGTTAGATGTCCCATCCCCTCCAAAAGCTCATCTTAATTCAGTTTCAAACGCATAAAACTTGTGCGAGATATTGGAATCTGTAGCAAATTAATTCATAATGAGAATGAGGGTAAAGGAACCCCATTTTGTTTTACCTCGTTTCAAGTCTGGTTCCTAAGCCTCACTGAGGGCCCTTCCGACGGCCCTCAGCACCCCCAGAGCTGGTAGCCAATGCAGAGCTGCCTCCCACAGGCCACTTACCTCACAGAGCAGCCAGGAGTCCGTGTCGGGCTCTGGGACCTCAGTGTGTGGAAGCCTTTCAGTGAAAGCCCCGCTGCTTGGGCAAAGGTGGTTATCTATCGGAGGGAAGAAGTGTGGCCCATAGTCCAGGTGACCTCACTTCAGTTTTGTTGGCTAAGAAAATGGGCTGACGAGGGCCCCTGAGATGAAGGAAGACTTTACTGCAAGTACCTCCTCACTAGTGTCAATGATGTGGATTGTGCAGTGTTGCTCAAACTTGAGTAGGGGACTGCCTGCCTTTCAGGCTCCCTGTAACTCAAGATCCCGATGCTACCACATTATTTTCTCCTCAGGGATCACACAAACACATCTGCTTTCCTGCGAGACTTCGTCAGTGATGACACCAGAGGCCTGAGGAAGATGGGCCAGGTGTCACCCAACCCCTTTAGCCCCTCTAGTCCTTTCTAGCCTTGAGGGAAGGTCTTCAGACCCAATAATGATCTTGGATAGATCAGTTTTAGACCAGGCAGAAGCACAGAACTAAGTACCTCAAAGTAAAGAAGACACATCAGAATCTTTGTGGGTCAGGACATGACTAGGTCTCATGCACCCAGCCTGACAGTTCGTGGCTGCCAGAATTTTCTCCCTGGTCCTCCTTCTACCAGTAACTTCCGTGATTAAGAGTTGTGACAAGGGCAGGAGAGAGCATGACAGGTAAGTTAGAGACAACTGGTTGATGCCCAATTCTTCTTTCTTGCTGGTGGAACTTTTCTATTATTGAGGGCAGTAATATGCTTCGATAATACATATTTTCCAGCCTCTCTGGCAGACAGAAGTAGTTAATTAGATATGAACCAAAAGTTTTGATTTGGGCATCTAAAGAAGGTCATTAAAGGGAACTGAGTCATCTGAGAGACTCTTCTTTCTTTCTGCTGCCTAGAACATAGGCATGAGGGTTGGGGCTCCAGCAGTCATCTTGTGACCATAAAGTAATGCTGAGAATGGAAGCTGTCTGATAAGGAGAGTGAAGCAGGCAAACAGGAAGAGCCAAGAGCCCAAGTCCTTGAGGACCTTGGAATTAGGCTTTATAGCCTGGATTTCCTTTCTTGGATTTCTTGCATGTGAACAAAGGCTAAATCCCTGTTTGACTTAAGCTTGCTATTTGGGCTTTCTGTTACATGTGGCTGAACCTCATTACTAAGTGATACAGCTGACTATTTAAACCATGTCCCATTACCATGGCTAGAAAAACAAACTTCTTAACTCAACTGGAATCATCATGTCATGTTTGTATAGAAAGTGCAGCACATTAAAAAAAATCTTATCACCATCTGTACTTTTTTGGCTTTGATCAAATGCTCTGAACATTCTGTGCTCAGGTTTACAGTAAAATTTTTTACAAAGACAAAACTAATCCTGGGATAGAATAAATGAATCTAGCTTGTTGATTTATTTGCTTTAATTGCCTAAATTGAATGGTGAGGTCCTACCTAGAGAAGAGAATCCTTTTGTTACAAAGGTACTCATGGGGTTGGGCAGGTGGCCCACAATTCTATGATGACCATGGGTGTTAGCTGTTGGGGCTGCACCATCCAGCCTGCTGAGGAAGGCGCCAACACTCAGGAAGCTGTGTCCTGGGCCACCCAGAACTGGAAGCTTCTTGGCCAGGCCAGCACTGGATCTAGGCAGCAAGAATTCAGACTTTGGTTTTAAAGCACATGAAATATCACTATATGTAATCATTGCATCTCATTTATAATGCTCACACTTCTGAGTACCCTCCACCAGATTTCCTTAGTGACATGAAGATTTGTTTGTAAAGCTAACCCTCTTAGAAATTCAGGGATTCTAAGTTTTTGACAAAATTTGAATTATTTGGGGGTTTGAGTTCAATTTACTCCCCAAAAAACATGCTTCCTGGTTGGAAGGAAAGTTGTCTAAGGGGCTTATAAAAGAGTTCTGGAAGATTCTTGTACACAAAGTGGCTCTTACTAACAACTGTGCTGAGTTAAGCTGAATTGAATCAGAA